TTGAAAACCTTCTCTATTTCGAAATTCAATGAATCAGTAAAGAGCAATTTTGTCTAAGGTTATTAGGTACTTGTATTCTTATTGCCAGTTATTTTATTACCCAAATGAACTGTAGATTGGTCTTTTGTTAAATTCTGTCACCTTTTAAATTCTTCTTCTATTAATGCTTTGTATTCATCTATAAATTGAACTATCTTAGACTTCCTTCATAGCGAAGAAACAACATTTTCCCTCTTCTCCCTTTTTTTTTTAATGCGTGTATTTGTGCTTCAGTTTTCTTGCTGACCTGTAATTTATTTTAATTTAATGCTAATGTCAGCCGGTTGCCTGGCTCCGTTACCCTCCATGGTTATTCCGGGTAGCCAGTACTCTAATTTTACTTTTAATATTTTTATTGTTCCAATCTATTTTTGAGCAAGAGTGAGTACAATAAAGAAATATTGAGGAATGGCTAATTTTCTTTCTTATAACTACCTTGAAAGACAGGTACATTTGGCTGGACGTGCATGAGATTTTAGATGTGAAATTCGTGCCATTCATGAGGTGATAAATAAAGAAAGAAAAATTAAGTACTACAAGGAAAATCCCCCCTTTAAATGAATATACTTCTTTAAAGGCCTTTGATGATCTTTCCAATTTCATTTTTTTCTCTTTGTATTCCCCCTTTCCGATTTCGATTCCTGGGTTTTGTAATTCGTTCTCCATTCTTAGTCGTCCATCCTCGATTCAAAATAATTTTCTTTTCCCTTTCCATTGCCCCAGCCTATTTTTGTAAAACCAGCTGCGGATGAGACCATCCATTTTTTGAAAAGTCGACACTTTTTCCGGACAAAATGTGAAGAATCTCGCCATCGTAATGTTCTCTACATTAGTGTTTCTAAGTTCTTTATGGGCCAGGAAATACCTTAGAAAAATGGGTAGACAAGCATAAGGCATCATTAATTGCTTGTTGTGGGGTAGGATAGCATGTACTTGTTCTCCCTTCAAGGCTCTGTGATATTCTTATTATCTCTTTTCTTTGGCAATTTTCTAGAGTCCCCTCTTTATACGCCTTTGGCGACGACTGATTCCCCATCCCTACCCATGTGATTCCGCTCAAATTCTTCTACCTCAGGCCCAAAAGTCTGGAGAAATAAGAATCACATGAGCCGTTGACTAACTAGTGACTGAACTGTAATCTCGTTTTGTTTCTATGTAGTCCAAGGTTTTAGAAACCTTCAGCTATCATACATTTATGTGCAGACTTTCCCAAAGAGTTAAAATAGAATTGAAACTCAAGCTCTATTGTTGCATCCTTTTTTAGGAAAGTATGATAAGACTCCAAATTTTAAAGTTTCGCATTGGCCTTCCTTTCCCACTGGTGTTCTCGTCAAATTTGGTGTAACATTTACACCTGGTAAGTCGATATCAATTGAACATGGAGATGTTATTATATTTTCTTGTCCTGTTTTGTTTTGTTTTTCTATCAAAAACGATATTATGAAAACTGGGAGGGAGGACAGGCTTATGAAATTCCAAGGCTTCCAGTCGGGGGTTAATCAGAGGAGAAGCTTTTCGGAGGTGGGGAGGGGGGTAGGGGATGCACAACAGATATAACATGGAAAAACACTCTGAGGGTAACAAACACTCATCAAAAAGACCATGTTTAATTCTCACGTTTCTACTCGCAAACGAATTTGACATCTACACTACTTTTCATTGTTTTACTGCCTAGCTACTGGTCAAAAAGACGGAGACGATTTCGATCGGTCAGCTAAGACGAACTATCGCTTTGAGCTTGCTCCTTTTTGTCATTCAAAATTTTCTGTTTGTAATTTTAATTCCCAATTTCCGATTCCCGGGTTTCAATAAACTCGTTCTCCATTCTTGATCGTTTATCCTCGATTGAAAATAATTTTCGCTTTCGTTTCCATTGTTCTATTTCAATAAAACCAGCTGCAGATAAGACCATTTATGTTTTGAAAAGTCAACACTTTTTCCGGACAAAATATAAAGAACCTGGCGTGATGTTTTATACATTGCTGTTTCAAAGCTCTTTATGGGCCAGGAAATACGTTAGAAAGATAGGGACTAATCGACAAGTCATTATTTATTACTTGTTGGGAGGCTTGGTAGTGCGTAACTGATTCCCTTTCAAGGTTCTGTAACATTCTTACGATCTCTTCTCATTGGCAATGCGTAACTGATCCCCCTTCAAGGTTCTGTAACATTATTATGATCTCGAAATAGCATTGAAACTCAAGCTCCTTTATTGCATTCTCTTCAGGAAAGTATGAGAAGTTTATCATTAGGATATCAACTCTGTTCGTTTGTCTCACGATAGAGTCACTTTTGGTTCAGATCGCGACGTTTCGACAGCAATACTGCTGTAGGTATGCTGCTATTGGTGCATTTCGATCCTAATTATTATTTGGGTTGTTAGATATGTTCCCTCATAGGTCCTCATAAATCGGCTGTTGTGTTTTTTGATCGTGGGTATCCAAGCTTCGGTAATGTCGATTCCACTATCGCTATTGATGTTGTTGGGATGAAGTCTTATATGTTTCTAAAAACAAGGGAGAGTCGTAAATAACTGCATGCGTTTATATTCTACGTTAAGACATTCTCCTTTTATTCGATTCTCCAATCTATTATAGAATCGAACCTGTATAAAGGAAGAGTTCAACTTTTCAATGAAAATAATATAGTTTTTCTCTGTGGTGAAGTTGTTGGAAAGGTACACTCGAAGATGAACATGAGTCAAGACCCAAGAGAAAGACGAGAAGCACAAGGGAAAGCAATTTGCTTAGGCGGGAGAATACATCACAAGAGTCGTTCGCGTCTTGCAACAGCTGATATTGTAAAACAAGGTTTTAAAATTTATTGTTAAAGATAACTCCGCTTAGTAATTTTGAGCAAACTCATAGAATAAGTTTTTGAGGTGAGGGAATCAACTCATGAATGAAACAGCGTGGAATCTAAGACTGGCAGCAGAAACAGGAAACAGAAACAGGCAACAATCAAGTGAGCGGATTAATTTGCGCCAAAAATGGCAAACTGTAGCAGAAATTACTTAGATTTGAATAGGGAAGATTTTCCAAGAGAGCTAGCTAACCATACGGGAACTTTTGAACCCCTCCCTATACACTGTGCTCTCTTGAACGTTTGACAGTTCAGACACAGATGTAATTAGAAATAAGAGAGGGCTGATCTGTGTGTTTCAGCTATCTGTTCTGTTGAGCTGCATAGCGTATTCAATATCAAGCCATTGACCAAATAAACTTCTTAAAACAACAGTTATTATTGAGAACTTCATGGCACAGAAGCAAATGTCAAAACCAAAAATTTACCACGTCCTGAGTTTTAAAGGAAATAAAGAACTATTCGTGACAAAACATCATCCATATTCGTAGCATAGGGCCGTTTGTTGCTGATGAAATAGAAGTGGAAGGCTTTGTGCTTTTCAGTGATTTTTAATTTGTTCCATAGCATAGACTTGTTGGTGTGCTGATTGAAAAGGAAAATAGAGAACGAGCACTTTTTCCATTCGCCGAAAAACTTCATGAATAATCCCAATACAGTCCAGCGCTCACTGTATATCGTGATTCCACTATGCTTCAGTGCAGTGTATGATAGCTGCATGGTTATCATTGCCGACCCATTAAAAAGTCATCTCCTCATCAAAAGGCAAACTAATTTATACTTCTTTACCGAGCTTAACTTTCCATATGACATTTAAGACCTGTGATAAGCGCATGCTCTGATCTATTTTCTACTTTTATTGCAGTATTTTCATAAGTACGGAAACATTTTATTCTTATCATAGAGTGTGTGACCCATAAAACGCTTTTGATGCTCAATGAATAAAGGGGCAAGTTTCTAAAGAAACTGTGGTGCTGCATCGGTGGGAGAGTATAGCAGGTAACTTAGTGTTAACAACTGGGTTGAAAACGTAAATTAACCACCGTAAAGAGTAAAAGAGCTGACGTTTCGAGCGTTAGCCCTTCGTCAGAGCGATTGGAGGAATTGTGGGTTGTGTTAGGGTTTATATGCAGAAAGTGGAGCAACGCCATTGGTGGGAATATGGTGACGAGGAATAAATTAGTTGAATGAAAAGCGCTCATTGATTCCGTAGGGATTAAGGGTGCCGATTTCGAAGATAAATTTTTGTTCTAGTGTTTTACGGCTTTCCGAACTGCCTAGATGTAAGGAAAGGCCGCAAACTGCCATATGCTGTTTAGAATGATTAGGAAGATTAAAGTGTCTAGCGACTGGTTTGGATGCGTCCTTGTCATTTCTTTCCACGTCGCGAAGGTGTTCTCGGAATCGGTCAACTAGTCGTCTTCCTGTTTCGCCGATGTATAACTTATTGCAACAAGTGCAAGTTATGCAGTAAATAACATTGGCGGAGGTACACGCAAAGTGATCAATGATCTTAATAGATCTCTTGGGTCCAAATATTTTCTCTACGTTATGAATGAAAGGACAAGTTTTGCATCGTGAGCGAGCGCATTTAAAAGTTCCAGATTGGTCATTGGTTTGAAATGAACTCCTGACTAAATAGTTGCCTATGTTTTTGTCACGTTTGAATGAAATAAGTGGGGGTTGCGAAAAGATAGTGCCAGTCTCGGAATCGTTTTGGAGTAATTTAAAATTTTTGAGAATGATAGATTTAACTGCGTGGTTGTGAGGGTGAAATGTAAGAGTAAATGGATACGGTCAGTGTTTTCCTTCTCAGCCGATGTCTATAAAACTTTTGTACGTTTTATCGAACATCATAAGCTATCTTATTATCTCAATTTAAATTAAAGACTAATTTAAAAAAATTACGCATTGCGTTTTGAAGAACGCAGCCTTTGCTGGAGTCGCTAGTGCCTTTAGTTGCAATGAAATGTCATCTAGAAGTCTCAAAATAGCCAGAGAGATTTCAACGCAAGTTCTAAATGTTTAAGCCATCTAAAGCGAGATATTTCATGAGGCATAGCAAAATAGTTTTAAGACAAACATTTCAAAGAAGTTCTTCAGTTGCTTTCTTCAATTAAGTGTGAAAATTCATCGGATGTTCCTGTTTTTCTGACTACTCTATTTTTGAGACGTGATACTCCTTTGCTAAGGAAAATGAAACATCGGATCGGGTTGAAGGTAATGTACTTCCAAATGGACTTCACATGTAGAATTCCTTTTCCTGCAAAGTAGAAAAAAGAGACGGATTTCATCATTTAAACATGTAATTCAAATTTTACACGAAAGCGTTTAAAACGGTAAGGTGTCCCTTTTTTTCTGAAATTTGTCTTTGTTTTCGCTCTCGCTAAGAGGCGTTTTGAGAATGAGTGTTGACATTTCGTTAGCACAGCGGTTTGGATTTCTTTCTAAGATTTCACTATTCATTATATTCTATTTGTACCTCAAAGTTTTCTGTCTTCTACCAATACTCTAATGTTGGAACACTACGAGACATGAATAGAGAAAATAACTCAGCTGTCAGGATTATAAGGTCTAAAAGTTCCACTTACAGGAAAAGTTAAGCTGCGAGAAGAATTGACCAAACATCGCGATATGTTTTAAGGTTACAATTGTGTGAGCCAGTGTTATAGAGAGTCGAATACCCTAAATAACCTGAATATGTTTACTTTATGATTTTATCATAATACTTTCATTGCGGTTAAAACGAAAAAGCTGAGGGATTGAGAAAACCCCCACATTCCAAGCTACCGTTCCTTCATTTATTTGGCAAATGAGTAAAATACACATTCAATACCGAAAACAAAGCAGCATGTTGACTTACCAATGGCAAGCAACAGTACAGAGGCGTTGAGGACCACGAACAGGACGTTTACAAAGATGGAGTCGTTCTTGCCCTCGCCTTGACTCTCATCCCAGTTTGTGTAAACTGCACCAAGACAAACGTCAAAGAAAATGATCCAAAGAACAAACGTTTGCAAGCGGTCTTCAAACTTATTCTTGATTGGTCGGAATAAGGTGTAGATAACTCCAAAGACACTAACTGTCAGAACTGTAAGACCGATTTGAGAGAGATTTTTTGATCCAAAAAGAAAAATCAACGAGATTAGAATCAGCTTGCGATACATCTCTGTGATTTCCCAAAACCAAAATTTCTTCTTATAGTTTTCAAGGAACACTCTGAGTCCGAAAGAAATTCCTTCGTTTTCCTGGGACTCGCGATACTTGTGACTGAGAAACAGAACCAAAAGTGGAAATCCGACGGGATATAATGCCAAAATAGACGCCACGAGCCAATACAAATTGTGGCGATGAGTAAAGCACTGGATGGAGTGGTCAGCTCTCAGCAGGAAAATGCAGTCGTTCTTGTCGTCAGTGAAACAAGTCTCTACACAGGCACCAGGAAGAGGAAGAATCTGAATGATGGATTTGCTCGTCGTGGGGTAGGTCGTTAACAACAATAGGAAAATGTTCCGATAGCAAGATTTCTTCAGACTCTCAACTTCCATAACTTTCAGGTCTTCGCCAAGGTCCTCCTTATTCACGATGTGGCGCTTTTTAAGAAATAAATACAAGAAAATCAGGCCAACGAGTGAGACATTCATGACAACAATCATCGTGAACTTTCCAAGCTGATCAAGCCGAAGAGAAGAATGAATGCAGCTAAGAGGGGCGAACTGCAAAATGTTCCCTTCAAATACTTTTAGAACCTTCTCCGTTGAGATCAAAGCGACTGGCCATTGGACTTTCGCCAATGCCGAGAAAATACCGGCAATGACTTGGTAAAAACCAATCACAATCTTAAAGCACGACATGATGACATCTGCAACTGTCCGGTTATTGTCTGCACGTTTAGAGTCACCCCAAAGAACCATCAGAAACACAGCAACAAAAAGAACAATTACCAAGATGGACGAGATTATTGTTACAGCTAACCGGGGACATTTCAAACAAGAGTTGAAGCGAAAATAGAAGCTTTCAGAGCAGGTTGCACACAAAGTCCCTTGATATCCTTGATGGCATTCTGAATCAATTCCACCCTTGCAGGACTTCGCATGGGGACATTTCAGTGGCTTCGGAAGTGAAGTATCGAACGTGGAATATGACTTGTTGTAGTGTGGTCCAAAAGAATGAATATTGTTAACAAAATCCTTGAAATGTTCTTTTTCAGACTGGTCTGTCCATTTCCAGAAGTAGTTAGGAGCAAGTATTGCTGTATCTTTCTCACAAACAAAACCGTTTGGCGGACATGCTGTGCACGGACCAAAACGATCCAACCGATAGAAGCTGTGTAGGCATCTGCATGCACGATATTCAGCGGTATCGTTGGAGATCGTACCTGGGAAGAAATATTTCCTTTCTTAGCAATGATAATAAAGCATTCATAAAAAGGCTTTTCCAGGGATTCATTTCGTTTCTTCTCCGAGTCAATCAAAAAATAAGATTTCACTGGCGAAGTAAATGGATACTTTTTTAAAATAAGATATCTTTGCATTTCGCCTAAAATAAATAGCAACAACAAAAACTACAATTAGAGACAGTCCTTCTATTAAAACTCAGTGTCACCCAAAGCGTATCTTAATCGAAGAAAATTGCAATTTGCCGAAAGCGAACACTACACTTACCATATGGACAGGCTACGCAGTCGGCAGCTTTGGTTCCAGGACTTTGCTCTTCCGAAACAAATGTACCATTACTGCATCTCTTATATTCAATTTGTCCCATTTCATCCTGATAAAAGCCACCTGTGAAGATATCATATTATAAAACAAAGAGGGATTCAATCATTAAATACAATTACAGAATGGAAGCATTTTTATAAATGTTATGGTTTGCGCAACCATTAAATTATTTTTTGTTGTTTACTTTTGGTTATCATATTGAGAAAGTTGAGAAAGATACACCTGCTACCAGTGGCCGAGCAGAGTGATTATAAAACTCTACTTTTAACTTTCAAATCGTCAAATGATATGGCTCCTATTTACTCACAGGAACGTTAAGAACCTTGCCATCCTCTTGTAGATTTTACTCGTAACACTAAAATACAGTCTTCGGTTGTTTGGTCAAAGAGCTTTATTCATATAATGCACCAGTATTATGGATTTTTCCTCCAGTGGTTATGAGGAGGTTCAAGTCGTTGATCCCGTTTAAATTTAAGCCTAAGGCTCTTCTTTTTAAACGAATTTATATTTGACATATCATAAAGTTCAATTATGTGGCTTAGACCTTTCCTTGAAATACATTTTTAATTGATATCCTATTGTTTATTATTTTATCAAATAACTTTCAGTATTATGATATAAAGCGCTGTTGGATACTTTGAAGAAACGGCGCTTATATGTTACTGTTTATATAATTTTTTAAATTAACGATGAAATAGGTTTTCATTCTCATTACCTGCAGGACACTCTAGACAGCGATTTTCATCAGTATACATGTAGGTACCAACTGGACAGAGACTGCAGTTATTACACTTAGGTGTAAAACTATGTTGGGTTGTACAGTCGTGGCACACAAAACCTGAGTGCGAAAAGCCAGATCTGAAGTTACTAAGGTCGTTGTCCAAGATGAGATACAGAGATGTCGAGGGAGCACACTCACTGAAGATTGGATAATAACAATAAATCAAAAACTCGCGTGGAAAAAACATTTTGAGTTTCCCCAAAAGAGACCTGGAAATGAGATCACAATTAACCCGTAACCTAGCATTGGATTTGAAAATGGTTTAAACCCAGTGAAGGGCAGGACCAAATTTGCTCTAACCTTGAGATCATATCCAGTAAATGCAAATAGTTAAAACCGCTGTACGAAATGTATGCTTCAGAAAATTCCCGCATTTACCATATTTTTGATTCATGTCATATGAGCTCAGGTACCAAGGCTGCATACCAATCAAAAGGCCCCACGCATGTTTACGTAGTCAGATTCGATTTCCCCCCCCCCCCCCACCAGCCTCACTTTCGAGGTGCGCACTGATGAATTCAGCCTAGTGAGCAATCCCCAAAAATATTGAAATCAAACTAAAACCCTCATGAAAATAATATGAAAACGGTTAAGATTCATGGAAATTTTGGTGCAACAGAAGCCGGCAGGGAATTTGCACTGGACGACGTTGTCTTTTAGAGACAACGCTTCAGCTATTTTCAAGACCTTCAATGTATCATGACTAGACTAAGAAAGCCTTTATTCTTATACTACGGCTAACTTTTAATAACTACACATATTAAATTTCTTAAGTCAAAGAAGCTACTTAATCGATAGTGCAGATGTCCATCAATGGAAAATGTCGAAGCTGATTCTGTAGGGTGTATAAAAAAGTTTAGGCTTACTTACATTTGTGACACATATTTTCCCCGAGGCAGCTGGCGAAGATTTTTACACGTCAGTGACCTGTAAACAAACATGTCAGTGACCTGAATCGAAACTGATTGGATGTAAAAGACAATGTGATCATTATGAGAATGGTGGTAACTAGTAATTAGTCAAAAGGCCCACGTCGCCAAAACAAACTCAGGTTTCAATAACTTTGAGTGACTTGAGGTTTTGCTTCTTCTCTCGGATTAGTTAACAGACCATCACCCGATAATTTCCCTCCTCCCCTCAAATTACTCGGAAGTGAAAACTACTGAGGGTACGAAAACCGACTCTAGATAGGCTACACCAATAAAGCTACAACACAACAACTGCAACGATAATGATGAAGATGTCAACGACGACGAAGATAATAAGAATGATGAAGATGATGATAATACTAATAGGTTTGTTTCTACGTTAAGGGTGCTCTCGTCTTTTCGTAAATATACGTCATTTTGTCTCGTGTTCTTAGGTGTGTTTGAAAACGCTTTTGGAAATTATTATGATAACTTATGGAATTTAATTAGCAGTACGAAGTTTCCAGGTTAGCCGGAGAATATATAAAGTATATCTTAAAGTGCCCATAATCTAGGAGTCTACGACTAACTTCAATTTCCAGTAAAATATTAGACGATGTCTGTTTAAGCCATACGGCTTGACTTACACTTTGGTGTGGTTTGTCATTTTGTCAAAAATTCCATCTGGTAACGAGTTGAAAGGATTATCAAAGATGGTTCTGAAAATAAAATATCTCCTCATTACACAAGAAACGATTTGATAGACATTGTAAAAGCTTCCGATATCAGCGCGGTTTTTTAAAATATGTTTGTTTTTTCTTCTAACATAGACCGAAGAGACAAGAAAACGTTCAGCTCATGATATTTATCTCCTTTTCAGAGCTCTAAAGGGAACTAGTCTATTCGTTAATTTACTCACAACTGCTCCAGTGCAAGTCCGTCAAAAGCCTTGCTTTCAATAGTTTTAATTGCGTTACTGTGAAGAAGCCTACGGAAAAAAATACGTTCGGTGACCTTGTATTCTTAATCAAAATATTCTTGATTAAGAAAAGAAGAAAATATAATCCTTTTGCTGAATAACGGCAAACTGGATATATCTTAGAAGCCGAAGCAACTCATACCTTATTGTGTAATTAGTAATAATACACTACAATACACATGTTACAACATTTCATGATGTCAGGAAAATCTCTGAACCAAAGTCTATTCTTACATTATGTATTCCAGGCAGGGAGTTTCATCAAAAACTTTAAGAGTAAATGTAGGGTTGTTTTTGATTAGCACTGATTAGCAATAACATTGAAAAGAAAACTCCTAACTTATGAGAAAAATGACGTCATAAATGAGCCACTCATAACAGTTTCATAGTTAAATACATTATGAATTGAATAAATGAGTTAACAAGCCAAATTATTCACTTTTAATTCACGACTACAGTTTCTACGATAAAGAAACTTTTTAATTGATACGGCGTCTTCTATGACCTTTGTGAAATGCACGTACACCTCACTAACCAATAGGAGCACACATTCTATCTCAAATACTTGTATTGATACTAGGAAAATATTGGTTAAGGATGAGCATGATATCATGCGTTACCGCTTGTAGAAAAAGTTATTAAAACTCCTGAGTTACACTTCTCTAGAATTCAATGTTTGAACTCAGTGTAAAGATTTTTAAATAGAGAACTTCTGGGAGATTGAGAGGTTTTTTATCATTTATAAAAATGATTAAAACCCTTTTACATGCGGCACAGCGACTCTTTTGTTTTCTGCACTTTAGTGGAGGTACTGACAGGGTTTCAGTGAAAGCAGTTAACTGGTGATCTACCGCTGCCCATCAGACCCCTAACCGCCGTCTGTTCAGCTTGCAGCCAGGCTCTCGTGAAAGTCACGGGCCGTCGGTGGGAGGGGGGAGGAAGGTGTTCTTGAAACGAGAGCCTCCCCGCAAGGTATTGGTTTCCGAATTTGCTTCGTTTATCCACGAGCGCTCCACAACGAAGCATTCTGATTGGTTAGAAATGCCTTGGAAAGTAAACTTTTTGATGCTCATAATGGTGGAAATAACACTTTTGAGCTATATATTTCGATTGTTTTTTTTTTCAGGGACAATGTCCTCTGACTTTCCTAGGGGAAAGGGGCCTATAGGCCTCTTTTTCGGGCACAGTTATCTACAACACCACTATACAACTACTCTACCTACTACGCTGCCTATGAAAAACGTTATTTGCACCCCTGACTTACACCTCTTTAGAAGTTTAATATATAGAGGACACTTACAGTGTGGTCAAACCGGAAAGTCCACTGAATGTGTTTTTATTAATGTAAGTGATCCTGTTGAAGGTTAGCATCCTAAAAACAGGAAAAAAAATACTACTGAGATATCAAACATAGAACAGGAGCGGGTTATTGTTTGAGTCACTGGAAATAATCCTTTCATTATGTCCTGTTTCGTTTGTTTCATTTAATATAGGTGTTTTCATCACTTGGAAATTGCAATAAGCCGTTTTCACGAGTAGCATGCCTTATTTATTTCAAACTTCTTGAGGACAAGTATCAAGGATTGTACCACAAATTTAGACAATTATGAAATTCACTCCGTATTGGGTTACTCAGTTGTTTAAGAAGGTAAACGGTTTGAGAGGCCGCGATCTCGACCTGATGAATTATTTATTGTATTGTTCCATTTGGAACAAGTGAGCTGATTACTTTCTATATTGGTTTTCACCTTTTACTTACAGAATGTTTAATTGATTGAGTCTAGCAAACACGTTATCAGGTAATGACTGTAACTTGTTGAACGACAAATCACTATGGAAAGACGAGAAAAATAAAGTTATCGTCAAGAAAATAGACGCCTAAATCTTAAAGGGAGACGAATTTAATTCTTTACACCCTGAGATTATACTGTTCTCTTGACATTTCCTAAGATGCTAACATGGATAATTTGTTTAATAATCAAGAACTCCATTAGTAAGTGATCATTTCCTTTATTCCCATGACCTTAATGTTTGATTCTGGGCTGATATCGTGGAGAGAATGCTAGTCACTGTTAGGGCTTAATGGGTTAGAAGAAGAACCATCCTCAATTAAAGAAAATGATTCAAAGATCAAACCCAGGTTTTCTGTACATCAAGTGCTACTTATTTTTTTATGTAACGCTATCCAATGACAGTCACAGCTCCATCATGGCTGTTTTTATCGCGAAACTTATTGTCATACGGTTTGTTGTCCATCGCGTTCACGTGTTAAATGTGCATGTTTGTAGTCTTCACCTTTTGTACTGTGTCCTTGTGATTGATGTTTGTACCATTGCGTAATAATATGTAATTATGTTAGGTAATTTGTCAGGTTTTAAAGAGCAGCGTCGTCGTTTTCGTTTTTTTTTTTTTTTTTTTTTTTTTTTTCCTTTAAAGCTATGCACCCTTAAGGTTAATATCTTTATTTATTGTTAGTTTGTTTGTAAGTTTTTGTTCTCTAATATGTATTTTACTGCTCATGTTTAGAACCGTAGGCGTGTGGATGTCTCTAAATAAATGATGAAAGCAATTACGCGTGACTTCGGTTGCAGTTGTGGTTTCTGTTACTCACATGTTTCCAAATACGAGAGTATTCTGGAACATGTTTGGTGGAAGGTGATCGATCTTATTGTTGTCCAACAATCTACAAGATAAAAACAGCATTTTCAAACGTTAGTAGAGCTGGTGCACTCTTGAATATAACCCAAGGCATCCAGAGGAAAAGAAGCTGGTTTCTTGGCAAATAACCTAAAATGAAACATTCAGTTTAATATAGACCAAATACTTACAATTCATACACGTTTCCAATTCCAGATGTGACAATCCTCGATAAATCTGTGATTCGATTGTATTGTAGATTTCTGAGACGAACATAAGAGTCTAAGCAAGTAAAGTTCGAATTTCTGATGCTGATCGAGAGAATATTTTGGTTCAATAAGATGATACAAAAATCACCCATATGGTGGCCACACCTACGCAGTACAGGCCACATGTATGACATGTCTAACTTTCAGTTGTCTCACTCATTTTTTTTCTATGATTACTTTAGTCACTTTTTCTAGAGACATAGATAAATAGAGTAATTGATCAATCGTTAGATCAGTAGATGGAAAGTGTATCAGTGACTGCTAAAAGATTGATACATGGAAATGATAAAGCTAATGATATATTCACGATTTTCCAAATAACAGCAGATTTCAAGATTTTTAAAATGTTACAGGCATGTTCAACTTTAGACGGACAGAAGTAGCTTATTTTGTAAAACATTTAAAAGTGACCAATTTAACTAATAATAAATTCAAATAAAAGTACCTCGGAGGTAAATTACAGCTACGAAGCTTTCTAGAACTGAAAGAATTACATGAGCCAGTATACTTTAATCAAGTTTTTATAGATTGTGCTAGAACAATTTTGCATAATTTGGAAAAAACGAGTGATTTTCTTTCCTTTTTATAAAACGAAGCACTGCTAGCATAATCAGCACATTTGTTTTTTCTTTTTTTTTCTTCTTTTTGTTTATGAAGGAATAATTTTCATTCATCACTTGTTTTATCTCTGAAATTGAATATTTCCAAGTTTAGTCCACGGTTCAGACTATTTGCAATTTTGAGATGTCTTAGGGAGAGAGGTTACCAAAAACTGAGTCGTTCGCCGTCAAGAGGACTAGACACACCGGAAGCAAAGATTGCTTCCGTCCCGGTACCTACTTTCATGGCAAACAAAATAGCGTCGAAGAGAAATATCATCCTGACATCGTACATTTTGACATATTAATTCACCGCTTCTAGTGTGATTCAAGTGTAGTAGTGAATTATGTCCTATCAGACCAAGTTCACTAAAAAATAAAGAAGATTTCATGCTTTATTAACACTAAATGTATAATTTAGATTTGTTTGTTTTGTTTTTTTGAAAAGCACGCTTTTGCAAAAAGTTGCTTAATTTTTATTAACGAGCATAGTTTTGAGCACAATTTGGAAAAAATCGAACAAGACTGATAGCATAACATGCTACTTTTATTAACATAATTTATTTTGAAAGAACAATCATAAAAAATGACGTCATGGTAACCGGATTTGACAAGATTGCGGGTTTCACTTCTCACGAAGGTTTCTTTTTTTAGTTTGCGAACATGACTAAAGGTTAAATTCGAGGTTTTTTTCGTGGGAGGAAGGCAATTTTTAGGAGAAGGGTTTTTCATTTTTTATCGGAGTTGAAATAACAAGTTTCATTTACGTAGAGAAGATCTCTATATTCGGTGCTCTTAAATGTGTTTTGAAGCTGTCTTTTATTTAAACGTTACATCTCGAGTTAAATTTATCACTAACACGTTCACCTTACCTACTCGTAAGGAATCCATGAGATGAGATTTGTTTCAATGCATGACACAAAAAGTGCTATGTATAAAAAAGGTAAAATAGCTACTTACAATCGATAAATAGTTTCAGGACCTGTTAAATCTGGTACAGATGTCACCTTGTTGTAGTCCATATTGCTATACGAATGAAGCAAACAGAAAAATATAAAGGAGTTGTAATGGGCTCTGATCAATACACGCACATCCCTTCTTTCTCTTTGTCTTGTAATTTTTACTTCCTCATTGATTTTGTATTTGTCAATTTCCTTTCATTTGTTTTCCATCGTAACTCGTAAATGATCGAGGGTATATGTGTCATCTGAAATAAAGTTGGCGTGTTGCGACGAGTGACTGTTTTCTTTATGCCATGCTATAAAATCTTTCTTTATTTCTGCCAATTCAAATCTGCTCCTTGCCGAAATTTTTCCCGTTTCACCTGTTTTATGCAAGCATTTTTAAATCACTTACCATATTTTGAGATAATTAAATCGTTTTAAAATGCCATCACTTATTGTCTCTAGCTCGTTTCCTGAAAGGTACCTATTAGCAAGAGTAAAGAGAATTGAGATATCTTCTAGTGGGCATCGAAGGGTGAGGGAGTGAGTATGGTGGGTCCAACATTTCAATAAAAAAGAAAAATAAAGTGGGCGAAGTTAAGAGGTGCTACCCGTGGTTTGGACCCTAAGTACACTGAAGATTTCCATTGTCCACAAAATAACCGAGGTATGTTAAGTTATTCCTTTCAAACTCGCACTTCCCAGTACCAGGTAAAGAAAAGCAATGTACAGCCAATGTACTTACAAATATTTGAGCTGATCCGTAAGTCCTTCCATTGTACCCTGGTGTATACGAGTCAGCTTATTGGAAGACAGACGGCTGAAAACGAACACATTTCAAACAATAATATGGTGCCGCTTAATCCGGGTTGATCTCACCACAGATAAACCTGTCTGTTATGGTCCGAAGTCAAGGACGTGACAAGTTAAGGGTTCGCAACATAAAACTTAGTACCAGATCTTTTCCCTTTGTTGAACTCAGACTTAGAATTACATTGCAAATTGAATAACAAAGAATAGCGTGGCTAATTCTGAACAAATTCACTAAAAACTTCGACGATGAACTCCTCTGTGTGAATATTTTTATGCTTTCTGGTTGATTTCATTTCTATCTCCTGGTCATCTGTGTAAACGATTTGGCGTTACTACCCAAAAAATTATTATAAGAATTGTTAATTCTCGGTTTGTAGCTGATGTCATACATTCATGCAAATTAAGCGTCCGCCATGTTGGTGCTCATCTCAGGTGTGAAATTTCATGCAAATACATCGCCATCTCCACCGTCAAATACTTTGTTTCATGGACATTTCTGGCGAAAAAAACCCAGAATCACAAGAGAATATTCTTCATAGGATACCTGTGCTTTTGAACTAAGCGGAGGCCTAGAAAGCCACGTTCGAGAGCAATATTTTAAGAAAATCTACGTGGTTGGTGTCGATCCAGTGGCCATTCGAAGCGGGCACTGAGTTTAACTCAGAATGTCTGTCCCCGATAGAAGTCTTGGACCTTCTTCCTTATTTAGTTCTGGAGACAAGTTCTTGCGCAAATAAGCAATTTAAACCATTCAAAAGTCTTAAGGCGTACAACCAAATGGTGTCTGGCTTCGTAATATCGGTTCAAGGAGCAGAGATTGTTAACAAGATTGTAGTTGCGGCGAAGGTGAGATGTTAACAGCGGATGAACGATCCTCTTGCAGACATTTGGATTGCCGCAGAAAGTGATACACAAATATACGTCAAGCAAAAGGAACGAATGTAGTATGAGAAACATACGAAAAGTTCCGAAATCATAACGCACCGATTCCAACGCACTACCTCATGGAAATACTTGGCTTAATCCTAAAAGAAAATTCGTTTTAATTCATGTAGGAGAGCTTCCTCCAAAAACATGGAACGGCTCAGGGTATGAAAATAGCAGTGTCATTTGCCAATATTTTCAAGGCGGATAAGAAAGTAATCCAACAAAGCGAAACCGAACCAAAAGAATGGAAACGTTACATTAATGACGTTTTCTCCTTTTGGGATTGCGACAGAAAAGAAGTAAATCGGTTCGTTAAACGAGCTAACTATTTCCACCCTACTATCAAATTCACGGCTGAAATATCAGAGAATCAACCAAATCCCTTTTCTCGATACCACGGTGTTCAAAGGGGAAGGATTCGCAAAAAATTCCGTCTGGGACATCAAAACTTATTGGAAGCAGACCGAGACTTTCCAAATTACGCACTTCGCCTCGTGCCACCCACCAGGATACACAATCAGCCCTTTCTGAAAAAAATTTTACAAAACCTCCGATCATCTTTTATAAAAAGGAAAAACTCTTTAGGACCGTCTTGTTAAAGCAAAAATACAATTTGAAGGCGGTAATGCGGTACGACCACGAAAGCCACATGGGGAGTCCGTGCTGGTCTATCTTTACCCTTATTCTCACATCGTGTCGCTGCAACTTATCGCTTGTATCTACTTTTCTCTCCTCTCTGCAGTCAATTCTTCTTCGTAAGAAGACATATTTTTAATAACTGATGGTATTCGATGAAATACAACCCCTTTGTCCCGATCACTTCTGCTGCCACAGCCCAAAACTAAAAACATGGCAATCGATTAAGTTTTGTACTCAACTTTTAAGTGCAGAGAGGAAATTAATCAGTCATTTAGACACACCCTCTCCAAGAAATGCCGGGTGTTGCGCTTAAATGTCTTTAAAAAAGTGAAAAAACGATAATCACTACTTACAGTCGTTGTAGATGTCGCATTGCTCGAAAAGTTCCATTGTCGATATTTTCCAAGTTGCAATCAGTCGCGAAACTACAAAAGTAATATGAAAAAGTCACCGTGGTAGAGAATTTTAATGAAGAATGTTATTCGAATATTAAAAGGGTGGTATTGGCTGATTGAGGAATGCACTCTAAAAAAAAAAAAAAAAAAAAAAAAACGGAGTAACCATAATTAGACAGTTAGAGCGGAACATTCCTTCATAATTTTCAATACGCTTCTCTGTCGGGCCAAACTAATAGTTCCTAACTTGTTAAACCTAGCAACCAAGCTTGTTTTCTCGAGGATGGCTGCAGCTAATACCTAACAAAAGCATACAGTGTTCAGTGAAAACTATTATTCTTGTGTATATATAACTTATATGCCAACAAAGGGTGGTTATGTGGTTATTAATCGTGTTTATAAATACAGCAATATAACGATATGGTCATTTTGGATGTGAATGCAGCTTTTCTACTAATAATACTTTTCAACAACTGTTATCGGCGCCGACACTCGACACTCAACTCGCACAAACCGCTCGATTTGATACAACAGCAGAATTGCCACATCACAGTATAGCACAGCGAATCATAGCACGGTATAATGCTTTATGAGGTAACAATCGAATTTGGCGTCTGACATAAACTAAAAATGCACAGATGAAAAGCCAGGAATTACTTCAAACGTCACCACATCGAGAGACAAATATTCAGTATGATACTTCTTATTAGTTGGTGATTTGTGGAGCCACTGGACTTACAGTTGTGTCATATTTTCAAACCCAGCGAAGATATCTGATGGCAGAGAAGGTCCGAGTGGATTTCCACTAAGGTCTCTGTAAAAGTAGGTAATTTAGTGTTAACAACTGGGTTGAAAACGTAGATTAGCCACCGTAAAGGGTAAAAAAGCTGACGTTTCGAGCGTTAGCCCTTCGTCAGAGCGATTGGATTTTACTCTGTAAAAGTAAACGATTTGAAATGAGTTGCAACCATCTGCTGATTACATATAGGCCTATATGAGATGTGAAATTTTAATTCATTATAAACTTTGATGAATCGAACTACTCGCGCGAACTGTGATGAACGAGTATTTAGCGAATATCTCCAAGGATTATATGCCTAAAGCATTCGAAAATAATTTTTTGGGATTTTAAGTCATCCCTAAAGATGACACTTACAGTTTCTGAAGCCGTGTTAATCCTTTCAGAATGACCTTCACATCAGCGATTGATAGTAAGTTGTGACTGATTATTCTAAACAAATGCAATAACTAAAATTAACTTATAAGTGTTAGACAGTGGGCTAAAATAATTCACGCAGCCTCATTTATTACTATTACGCTTTTTCATGCATCCATATATCTATCGACAGTTTTTTTTTCTTTTTTATTTATTATTTTTTTTTTTTATGAATAAGACAAAGGAAAGGAAAGGAAAAACTAATTTAAGCAGTTCATCATCATTTTATTCATAATGTTTGGAGAATACAAGCTTAGAGCAATGTTTTAGCAGTAACCTTAATGTACTTCAATTGTGGCACACAGCTTTAAGAAGCACTTCATCACATATAACTCACAGAGAATAAACGTTTTCTGGAACGTTAAAACTGCCAGAAATGGAGTTCTCGGAAAGATATCTGGGAAGAAATGATAACAAATGTCATGAAATTAAGGCAGGAAAAACCAAAGATAGATAGATAGATAGATAGATAGATATACAGATAGATATACAGATAGATATAAATATATATATATGTATCTATCTAGTTATGAAAATTTGCAAGCAAGCTAGGGATGTACCAGGCGACTGAACACGCAACGGTTAGGATACCGCCCACTGTGAGCGGGTCAGATGGGGGAGTACTGCCCGCTCGGATTGCAAATTTGTAATATACCACCCGCTCACGCATCGAGAAACAAATGATGCGCTCCACTATCTCACTGTTTTACCATATACTAGCTAAAACTACTATTCACCTAAGCGGGGGTGGCTAGTGATGGATATTTACCTCGACTCTTCACGGCTCGGTAAATATCCACCACTAGCCACCCCCACTTAAGTGAATAGTTGTTTATTATAATTGAAAAAATGGGAAATACTTTTCCACACGCTTCCTCGTTTTTTCACAACCACATTTTATAAACTGTTTAAATTAAATCATTAGGAATTCCCTTACATTACTTCCAGTTTCTTCATATCGCGGGAAGTGTTGTGAGGGATGTGTCGCAGCGAATTATTTGATAAGTCCCTAGAAAGAGAGAGAGAGTTCGTGGAAAAAAAATTCAGTTGATTCTCGTAAGATTAAGCACAAAATTTTCCAAAAGACAAATGATTACGTGCCCTTTCCTCTTTTACTCGTCATTAGAAGGATGACTATAGTATCCTAATGATCACCTGATACGGTTTAAATCTACCAGCTCATAGATAGTAAGTCAGCTATTGAACCATCAATGAGTTCTCAGATATAATTCGTAATCAGATGGTTAACTTTTTTATTTCTTCGCGTTTGTAGATGGCTCGGGGAAATCTCAAGACCATTTTCAAACTTTTTCACAACCTCGATAAATTTTCTTCTGAATATACTTGATATATGCAGTATTTAGGTTAATGAGGTTTGGTTGGACTGTGCGAATTCTCCCATCAGCCATCAGTTTATACTCACATACAGAGCTACATACTTACTTCCATTGAATGGCATGTTTTTAATAAGCCATGTTTTTTTTTCTTCTGATTTTTAGAAAAGAGCCATGTTTTTTTTCTTTTGACTTTTAAAAAGAAAAAGTACTCTGCTTTAAGACAAACCTTTTCGTTCCAATACGAATTTCTAATTTTTTTTTTTTTTTTTCAATTATTATTTTTTTATTCAATTTTATTTGCAACTTACAATTTCTTTAAAACAGTCAGGTTCCTGAAGATGTCTTCTGTAATTGAGCTCAACGAACAACTTGAAAGATTCCTAGGTAAAAATCGAACTGTAAGTAAAAATGGTAATAGACATAAATTTGAATTCTAGAGGAGGTAAGGTCCGTAAGGAATAACTAATGAAATAAGCGATTATCTAAAGCAGAAAAGTATTTCGTTGAAATTGACACGTAGCGTCCAATCATTGAGTTTTTCAAAGTCCGTATGACTTTTCTTATGATTAATTTCAAATCAGGATTAGCAATGATGGCAAAACACGCATGAAACGACAAAAATCGCCAGAAACTACAGCGGACTCACAAGATGTAAGTAAGTTTTCTTGATTTAGGAGTAAAATGTTCATATTGCGGAACATTTATCGTTGTAAATCGACCATATTTCGTTCTCCATGTTATTCCTTATAACGTGTTCAAATCCTTAACGATTTCTCTCGTAAATTAACACCGAGTCACACAACGCGTGACAGTTTCATGAATAAATCGTTTGCTTTTTCTCGAGACGTTCGTTCGAAAATCATCTTTGCTTTTTGTTTTGTTTTTCTTGGCATTGACAGAGACTCCTTAACAAGTTTGCAACATTTAAAACTACCTTCATCCAGGATGTGTCTAATAACTATTAGCTAAGTAATGAATATGAACACAAAGAAGACGATAAGAGGCCCTGGAGGACGAAAGATGGCGAAGTTTCTTTATCACTTACAACTCTATTGTATTGCTTGGGATTCCGGTCGCTATGAATCCATGACCTCGACATTTTACCTTCACCAGGGCGTGAGTCCTACCGAAATTGGCACATTGACAGATTTTTTGGCTGCAAACGTCACTCTCACATGCAGTTACAAACCCCAAGACCAAGATGACTTGTATCACACCTGTAAACATCTTACCGTGGCCAGAGCGGTTTGCTAGAAACGCAAATTATAATATACTGATTTCAAAATAACTAATGAACAGAGACTTATTCAAAACCAATATCCGTAGTTCAAAAGCAACATGGCTTACTTTCTGAGGTCTGGCATGTCTTTCCGTAAGGTTTATCCAATTACTGTTTTCAGTGAGAGTAAATCAGTTTTAACCAAATATTTCTTAGACAGGGTGCTAAGAGGTCATCATTCTTTTTTTTTTTTTTTTCTTTTTTTTTAACCAGACAAATGGCAAATTGAAAAAAAGATTTTGGTACGCTGTTAAAAAGCTTATCCATTAAATAAACTCACCCAAAGATCTCTCACAGCCAAGTATCCACCTCTCCGAAGAATGTTTTCGAAGTCGTATAACCTTCTTCCTCTTATAGTCCTCTTGTAATTCCCGAAATTTCTATCTTTAGTAAAAAGGATCGAAAGCGGATTTAATAAGCACGCGCAATTGCGTTTGCTCGTTACGATGTTATCCAATGTCGCAGAATTTGTGATTTGAAGGTTAATATTGGCTTGAAGACATGGTTGATAAAAAAACATCTCGCTCTTCGACCTTGACTATAAAATTTATGGCCCTTCGACAACTAACGCTTCAGTCCGTGCCTCCCAGATATCAGTTAGACATTCTCACTACCTGTTTGTAACAGAAAGTTAATTGATGACAGGCACATGCATCATCAGAGACGAGAAGTTTCGAAACGCTGAAACATTAAGATTAATTATGAGCACTCGTTACTGCATATTACTTAAAAGCAGTTATTGATTTCAATCTGCTAACTACAAAAGTTCATAAACGCTAATGAACCTCAAAGTATAAAATAAGGTAAAGAAATAAGAAGACAATAAAGATATGGCCATATTAATATGGTTGTACCCTCTGCCTTTAGTAATTATTTAATTGATTTCTTGCACGGGAACAGGTTGCGAAGCTGAAGAACACATGAAGTTTCGAACCTTTGAAGCATTAATATTAATTATGAGCACGCGTTAGTGCATATTATCAAGTACTCTCAATGGAAGATACACGAGGTGTCTTGATTCAAGACTAGCAAAAATAATTTATACAGATTAGAAACATGAGCTCTATTTCTTTTACACTACTTTAGAACTGCTCACAGCACGGGTGGGTGAAAAGAAAAGTTACTTCCTGATTAGGACTTCCTCACTGGTCATCGCTTTTGCTTCGGTTGGGTTTTTGTCACAATAGTTTAAAACAGTTTGGTTTCGAGCCCTTCACAGTTGATACTTGAACCGGCGACACGTCCTCTTGATTACGATTGGCGATAAGGAAGATTCGAAGCAAAGTCAACGAATGCAAGCGGGAGTTTTAACGGAAAATTCCAACCTCTAGAGGAGTATTACATTCCAAAAATATTTGTGACAAGTTGTACCCAGATTTGAAGGTCTATCCCTCTCGGTAAGTTACGAATCTTGTCAGTATAACTAGTGATAACAATATTTGCCAAGTTTTGGCGATGCGTACATACACATAGGCTTTTTTCCCATAATTTTTTTTTTGTTTGTTTGTTTTTTTTTTTATATGAACAATCATAACCAGGCTGAGATTAGCCAAATCTTTAAGAACATGCCCAGAACGTACCTATGCTGAAAATCAGTGAAGATAGTCTTTTATTTGTTCATTTTGCTTTGATTTTTGCATTTAGCAGAGTATACAAGGCAAGCCTTGCTCCTCTCTCATTAGTTAGGCTTCTTCATGCAGTCGATGTTTCGCGTTTTTAAAACTCACAATTGAGAAAGGGGTACATATTTCAACAGCTCAGACGAAGATGGTAAATATTTATCCAAATTGCCCGATAAATCATGAATGGATAAAATATTTGATTGAACGGAAAATTTTTTTCACCACCATTGTAAAGATCCAGCCCATTCTTGTTACCTTAAGTAGCTGGGGCTACAAAAACCCTCCAAAGTCGCAAAGAATACACTCGTTGCCTTAAATTTACTGTAATTTCCCCACCAAAATTGTGACAAGAGCTACAAATACCTTTGAGAGACGAAATGCAAATTTGCCTCTCGACTGAAAGAAAGTGATAGATCAAAACAACTGCAATACTCTGCACTAGCTGAAAACTGTTTATTCTTGGCAATTACAAACTCCACCCTCTGGGGCCTTTTAGAATCTTGGGATGATAATTTCAAGAATCCACTGAATCATAACGATGGCATAAAATTAAAGCAAGAATTAATCAACTCAAATTTTGCATTTTTCGAAATGGATATGTTACGCTCGCTCTCATTAAGGCAATACACCGCGATTTCTATCAGCGTACTGACGTGATAACCCTCGAGAGGAGTTGGGTAAATAAGAGAAACAAACCGTGACTTCGAGTACTCTCCCAACGTCCCACGTTTTTATTACGCCGGTAAACTATTAAAAAGAAAATGCTTCTTTTTTTCTATGGGTTCATCGGTGCAATAAGCACGAAAGGTTTTTGACCAGTCTGGGATAGCCCTTGTAGTGCCTCAGTTACTCTATAAATTTTCATAATTTCCCCCTGAGAAGGACTAAGGTTTCGGCTGAAAAATGAGGATCTTAAACGTATATATTTTTCCCATAATTTTCGGCATCTCTAATAATTCTAGTAGTTGGTATAGAACTTTTTATTTGGTAAGGTACCATCAACGGAGCGCTGAAGGATTCTCAGCGAAAGATCGGTTCAGCCTTATCTATCGATCTTTTCCCAGGTAATATCGAATTCGTTAAACCTGCCGTCAGTTCTTTTTTAAACGTCGCGACGACTATTGTTAGGGGCAAGAATATGCAAATTAGTGACTCACTCAGATGTAAACAAATCGATATGTCAGCGGCAAACTGATTGACATCGATTTTCCAGAATTATACCGGAAGCGTCTATAGACTTTCCGAAGTAAATGTCTCGACTTTGAAATATAATTCGTCTTTTCTTCGAGGAAGTTTCGATTAATACTCGTCGCAGTTAGCACATGCGTAAGCGAGTCAAAGCTGTTTAGGGGCTAAAGGTGTGACTATGAATGAAGACGCTGAATGCGAAAAGTCTTTGACTCCTCGAGACGTTTGCTCGTCGATCTTTGATCAAACTTATGAGGGAACCTATGAGCACAAAAAGTATGAATCAAACGCAAGGTTAAACAAAGCAATTAGAAACATCAGCAGCACAACTGATCAGTCAATAAAATCCAACCAATACACTCTTGTAGCCAAGCAGAACACAACGCAGTCAGAATACATATATGATGGTCACATAAATCATACTGGAAAATTACATTAACGAATAAGTAGGGAAAAGTCCAATCCTATAAGCAAAGGCGTCCGCCGAGGTAGAGAACCATCAAGATTACCGTTGAAGAAAATTCTGACCTTACTTAACAAGAGTAAAGCAATTGAAAGGTACGTAAGGTCCTATATTGTGCATAGCGGGCACATTCGTCAGCGTTGAAAACGATTTTATCGCTTGATTATCGTAATTATCTTAAAACCAGAATGTGCAGATGTAAACCAGTTCGAATCACTCGTTCAAAAGGTTCAACGTTGTATTTTCTCTTAGTTATGTTTATGTTTTTAAAAAGAACTGCTAAGCATAAAACGACGTGAAGTAACAGTTGTTTTTAATGATAAATTTGTACATGTTGTTCAATGTTTTTCAATAAAGAATAAGGAAGGAAATAGTAATTGTTTTTTTTCAAGGCCAAATGTTTTTACTTCAGGTGATACGGAGTATTGAGTTAAACCTGAGACCTGTTACTCAGGGAAATAATCCAAACAAATACAATTACAATCTCGATTAGCTCAATATGGCTTGAGAATATTAGATGTTGGTGGTGCAGGTGACTGCTTCTTAGAGTTGTTTCCCATCAGTTGTATGGTAAACCTAGCTATCATATGAATGTTCCTAGTGGTGTTATATATGCAAGAAACAACCCAGAAAGATTCATCGAAAGTAGCACAGACCATTCATAGTGGAAGTATATTGCTAACATATCATACCAGGGTACATGGGCTGATGCACTTGTTACACAAGCAGTTTGCCCTAAACCCTAACCCTAACCCTTGTATTAAACCTGACAATCCAGGTTTTTTAAAATCTAATCCAGGGTTTCGATCGGTTACAAATATCAGTCCAGTTAGCTCAGAAACTAATACTAATGTTATAAATATTGGACATATTGATGGATCACACCATGTTTCAACTATTCCTTTCAATGAAGAGGCATTGGTAAACAATGTAATTCATAACAATCAAACAGCACGGTTAACGACAGATCAGTGCACAAGCACAAACAATGATGAAAGAACGGGAAATATGTCAACCAAAGAACAGAGAGGGAACGCTGATATGAAGGAAGACATGAGAAGAAGGAGAAGAAATAATGAGTTAAGAAGTAGCAAAACAGAGCTCTGCAAGCAAAATATCAGAAAATATTCAAAAAACAAGAGAATATCCGAGGCGGGCATTTAACAAATGTAAATAATGAAATCCTGATAATGTCAGAGAACTGGATAGGCAGGCATTTTCCAAAAGTGGAACGAGTAACCCTTAGTATGAACGAGAAGTGAACAAAAGTGCACGGAATAGAAAGCGATCCTTGATATCTGGGTTGAACCCATGTGACCATGACCTGCCTCAGCCAGCTACTAAAAGACCAGGTTGTATAGCAGTTGATGAAATACATGAATTCGAATGTCGAGATTCTACAAAAGAGATGCACACAATGACAAAAGTCATTCAAACTTTTCACGAAAACATTAAATGTGGTCCTGAATATGTATGTACTTGCTGTGATCAATTATGGTATCAGTCATCTGTCAGGAAATGTTAAGACAAATACCCTAATTGTTCCGACACTTTGCTTCAAGCATGTATTACTACTATTGCCAATCAAAGCAGACTAATGGGAAGCTACCAGCATGTTCGAAAGTAAAAAAAACGGGATTCCCTGTGAAACCACAATGTTTAAAGTTGACAACTTTAGGGAACCTAAAATAAAAGCCGACCAGCCAGTCGTTCATTTACAATTTTGTCGGAATTCAATAGCTATCCAATGGAATCTTATTCGAAAAGAATGCCGGAAGGAATGGAGCAAGTATCTTATTTACAACCTGCAGTACATTCATACAAATTTTACGCTAGAAATCTGTTATAGTATATGCTTCTATGGAATAAAAAGGAGTTTAAGGAATGGCGCAGGTCAAACGATAGCCAAAATGGTGAATTCTGACTATACGCTCAACATCACCTTAGCAGTTCAAACTAATTCCAAGTAGTTTCAACTCTATTCGAGAGTTACCCATTGGCTGCCCGTGTTTACATAAAAAAAAGAACCCATTTAAACGTAATGTATCCATGACTTATTCACAGTTTCCGTTGACTTTTTAATTTTAGCACGAATCATGAAGAAATTTTTTTGGAACAGTATCTCGAAGAGGCTCTCAAACGCTCATTATAACAGACCGAGTTAAATCACCATAAATTATTTTAATTTACAGTGTTTTTCTACTCAGCTGTCGGTTCAGAAGACAATGATGATTTTGACCCGACAACCGGGACAAACTATCTCCCTGTTGGTTTTTGTTATAAGTGGAACATGGGGATATCGCTCTGGACTTGAAGTGATTAACGTGACATACTGTGGTAAGTTACTCATTTTAAATTTTGCCTAAAACTGTGTTGGAAAAATTAAAGAGTGCTCCCCAGAAATATCACGGAAAATGAAAATTGAGAATTCCTCTTAGGAAAAAGAATCGTCGATTATCTTTTTAACAACCGAGTTACTACTTCCCAACTATCTGATCTCTGGGTTCCATTAGTTCTCCATCTCTATTATTTTTTCATTTCCCTCTTCATTGCCTGCCGGCTGTTTTATTAAAAACCAGCTGAGGATAAGGCTATTCATTTGCTGCAAAAACAAAAGTTATAACCTAATTTCTGCATGTATTGCTTTTCATCTAAGCTCTTCGTGGGGCCTGGACTGAGGTAAGTTAAAAATATAGAGACTAATGAATGGCCTCAACTGTTTACTAGTGAAGACTCAATTGGAAACTAATTCTGTTTTTCTGTAGCCCAAGGTGATGCTCCATTGTTGCATTATTTTCAGGAAAGTACGATAAGCCTCCAACGTTTACAGCTTCTCCATGGCCTTTCATTCCTACTGGAATTGATTTAGATGTTAATATAACATTTACACCTGGTAAGTTGAATTTGACATGGAGGTTTTAAAATTTGTTATTAATTTTCAATCAAAAGTGATATCGTCAAAAAACCAGGAGGAGGAGCTTATGAAATTCCACGGCTTGTAGGAAATCTTGTTGACATAATTAAAATTTTATTAAAATGACTTCTGAATGAATAATAAACGACCACAGGACTGATTAAAAACTGCAGATAGCGTCCTCCTTGATTAGGCGATATGAAAACACAAGAGAGGCTTCCGAAATTGCGAATCCTTACAGCATGCAAGACAAATTGCAAGACGTATCTCAATGTCTTGTTTGAACCTAGGATGGTGTCTAATCCACCACTGATTTTTCTTTCTTAGAGCATCGGACGACTGAATGCAACGCTCCAAGGTTTTATTACAGGCCAAAATAGTTCACATCCTGCTTTGTTCAAAGACCAAGCCAAAAATGTAACCCCTTTCTTATCAATTTGACTAAGGGTGTTTACTATAAAATATCCAGGATTTGAGAATTGAGGTTACGAGAGAACGCTGAGTTGAAGGCCTCAGGAAATGAGATTTCAAGTCAGCGTATTCTAAAACGATTGTCAATTATGTATCCTGCAGTGCGTAAAGTTGTTAACTCTAATCGCAAATAATTTTCTATTTTCCGTATTGGATAAACTTTTTAACGATTGCTGTCTAAATTTGGCGGGTTCGACTGAAATCTCCACTCTTCAACTTCCATTGATGCGCAACAGAAACAGTTCATATTGAATGACTCTTTCATTACTCAAGAATATGTGCCGCGTTCTAAATAGTGTTTGCTTCTAATAGAGGTAGATGTTCTTGAAGCATCCATGCAAGTCGAAGTGGTCTGTGACGGCAAGGTTATTATTTGGAGCACAGACGACAGTGTATGCCAAGAGTACCCAAACGTGTGCAGCTTACCTGCTGGTGGTAAGTTGATTTCCAAATAGAGAGCTAAGGAGTGAAAAAGGGAGAAAATCGAAGAGAATAAAAGAAATGAAGGACAGAAAGAAAGGGAAAAAATGGAAAAAGAAATGAAAGAAAGAAAGGAAGAAAAAGGAAAAAAGAGAGGATTAAGAGACGTTTTTCACAGTAAATTTTTCAAACATTTATAATTAAAGCAGATCAAATATCCTGCTCTGCATGATTAAAAAAAAATCCAAAATACTCCTGAATAAAAAAGTCAGTGAATGTCAACCTCACATTTTCCCTTTAATAGTTTTTCACACTTGGTTTCTGTTTTTCTTATATTTATCCCTATAGTTACAGTCATACATATCTCCCGAGATTGGTGTGAATCCAAAAAGGTTTTTTTTTTTTCCAAATAATATTTCAATCGACGGTGTGAAACACATCGAGACGTGTTTTAAAATTAAAAACGACGACCCTTCCAAATTGCTTTCTTGACCATCTCTAACAAGCAGCTTCGAATGAAAAACAAAACAAAAAGAAAATCGTAATGGCTTAGGGTCTTTTTTTGGGTCTTCTAGAAACCGTTGTGTTGGGTCTATCTGGAAATGTGCCGCTCATTCCTCCATTTTTTAAGGTAATCGGTCAACTAGCGCAGCCCTGTTACCTTACGGGTTTCCGTGCTTGTGATTCCTATCTGATAGCCCTGGCTGCATTTCAGTCTTTCCTCTCTCCCTTGATTTGCTCCCGCTTGTCAATTATAACGGTGTAGTTTTCTTTTCTTATATGATGTTTATACATCTTCCTCACAAGCGCATGTAGCTAGATTTTTTAAACGAAACTGAAGCAGAATTCTCTCGTAAGCACTCGTCGTATTGGCTCAAAAAGCAGCTTTTTCAGGGATATAAAATCCGTAAGCCATCATCCTGGCCTAAAGATTTCCCGATATTTTGGTTTTATCGACTGAGTGAACATGTAAATCAGCCACTGTATAGAGTTTCTAAAGAGTAAGCCCTTCGTTCTGACCTAGGGTAACTAGTGAGACGTCAGCTTTGAAAACTCTTTATGTAGGCCAGTTTACATTATCAACTAAGTTTATAAAACCAAATGCCCCACTAGGCCATGCATCGACGCAATACCACAGTTTCTTTAGAAACTTATCCTCCCCCCCTCGTTAAAATGATTTCCAGTCGAGCATTTTGTCATCTTTGTACACTCATTTCATTTTAGGCTGACTTCTGTGAGCTTTCAGCGTCAGCAGCCATTCTTAGTTCCTAATCTGTATTACCATTGCAATGACGACCCTTTTTCAGAAGCAATCATGACGGATGATGGTGTTGATCATTATCATTATCATTATGACGATTTTTATCAAGCTAGGCATAGTTTCATCTGTTGTTTCTTGGAAAAAAAAAGAGGGCCTTAACCCTTTAACCCGTAAAAGTACCCGGCTTCTAGTTTCTCCATACAATATCACCCTGAATAAAACATTATGGCCTCGATAATCAAGGAAATGATCACCAACTTCTAAAGCTCGTAATTTTTAAACACATTGGAGAATGTGGAGAATGTGCATACAAATGTTAGGGTATAAAGGGTTAAATCGATGCGTAGGTTTACGTTCTATGTTAATGTAGCCATTTTACTTTCATTTTATTCTTCAATCAATTAGAATCGAACCTGTAAGGGGAAAGTTCAACTTTTCAATGAAGAGAATATCATGTATCTCTGTGGTGAGGGTGTGGCCAAGGTATGGTAAGAGACGAACAGGAAAAACAGGAGTCAAGACTCGAGAGAAGCATAAGGGGAAAGAGTAGGCATAGGAAGACGTGCAAAGGGTCCTCTTGCAACCAATGCAATGATACTATAAAACAAAGTTTTAAGATATAACGATAATCATTAAAGATAACTTTGGTAACTTTGTGAAAATATATAGACTACGTTTTTGTGCCTAGAGAAGCAGCTCACTTTTAAAACAGCCTGAAATTTAAAACCGGCATAGAAAACGGGGAATAATAATAAAGGGCGGATCAGCGCAAAAAACTGTAAAGTGTAACAAAAATTACTTTGATTTAAATGAGAAAGATTGTGCAAGGGAGCTAGCAGAGCTGGCGACAGCCTTTGAACTCTTCCTTATACACAGCCCTTCCCTGAAAGTCATTAGTTCAAATTCAGATTTTGGTAAAAATAAGAGAGGACTTATCTGTGTGTTTCAGTGATCTGTTCTGGTGAGTCGCATGGCGTATTCAAGACCAGGCCATTAATAGAGAAACTTCTTGAAATATCAATTATGACAGTACAGTACACTGAATACGAACAAAACTCATAGCCAAAGAACTGCTTATTAAACGGTCTCGATTGTCCAGTTTGATCCGCCACAGGAGAGAAGCGGACTCAGTGGCAGTGACTTACTAAGTTTACAGGACACGTTCTTCCTCTCTTTTAAGGATTTGTCTCTGATAAACCTTTTCCGTCCAGTTCCTCGCTGACTGATAAACCTAGTAGAGCGCAAATATTTTGCTTCTTTTACAACGAACCAGCTTTTTCTCGATGTCTTTACATCGCCAGCAATAAAGAAATGGGTTTAGGGATGAATCGAGGAATGTCACAATCTCGGCGAAAGGGCATAACTGATTATCAAACAATATATCTTTTTCAATCACCATGTCAGCCAGGGAGATAATCATGAGTAGCAAATAACAAATCACACGCATACTCGTGATATACGCCATATTTCGTGCCATACGTGTCTCGCGTGTGTCCAGCGTTTGCGGCAGTTACGTAGAACAGCTTTGATTGTCACACGCGTGAATCTTCTTGTGAGCTTTATTTTAAGAGCGAATTTGTCGTCTGCGATACTTTATTATCCTACATATCTTGAAATACAAGGCGATGTTTAACACAAGGCTGAGTCCAATGACACCAGAAGCAATTCACACACAGCACAAATCTCACAACACGACACAAAAGTGGCATCGAAGAGAAATTAAAGGAAAACTACAAGTCAGTCTCTATAATGACTATTCATTGAAAACGAATCCACTCGGTTCCTTTTGTAAAATTATATAGTTCCGACCATTGAAAAGCTTATGAAACAACATAGACACAACAGGTGCTCTGATTGTATAAAAAGTCGAATTCCTCGTTCATTTATTACTAATTTATGAGCGGTTGGAAAAGTTTTGCATTCACTTTTTAATTGCGGAAAGGAAAATTTATTAGCTAATTAGATACAACCTCTCCAAAATACGCCAAATGTTGTGCTTGAACGTCAGTAAAAAATGTTGAAACACTACTTACAGTAATTGTCCGTATCGCATTGCTCGAAAAGCCCCATTGTCGACTTTTTGCAACCAACCGTGAAACAAAAATAAACTTGATATAATTTCCAACGTTTACGACCTCAATTTAAATTAAACACTCAAAAACATTACGCATTGCGTTTTGAAGAACACAACCTTTGCGGGAGTCGCTAGTGCCTCAGTTTAGTTGCGATGAAATGTCATTGAGAACTCTCACAATAGCCAAAGAGATTTCAACGAAAGCTCTAAGTTGTTTAAGCCATCCAAAGCGAGGTATTTCGTGAGGCTTAGCAAAAGATTTTAAAGACAAACATTTCGGTGAAGCTCTTCAGTTACTATTTTCAATGAATTGTGAAAGTTCATTGGATGTTCCCGTTCTTGTGACCACTCGGTTTTGGAGACGTGATACTCCTTGGTGAAAGAAGCTGAAACATCGAATCGGGTTGAAGGTAACGTACTTCCAAATTGACTTCAAATGTTGAATTCCGTTTCCTGTAAAGTAGAAGAAAAGACGGAGTTCAACACTTATACATGTAATTAGAATCTCACACGGAAGCGTTAAAAACGGTAAGGTGTCCCTTTTTCCTAAATATGTCTTTGTTTTCGCTCTGGCTAAGAAGCGTTTTGAGAATGGGTGTTGACATTTCTAATTCGTTAGCACAATGATTTGGATTTTTTTCTAAGATTTCAATATTCATTATACTCCATTTGTACCTCACAGTTTTCTGTTTTCTACGAATGATTCCCAATGTTGGAACACTACAGGAGGTGAATAAAAAAAATAACTCAAATACTTCCTCCTTCGCAGATTTCATAGCTACAATTTTGTAAACTACATCCTAAAAAACTCTCGTGTTAACAAGGTCTCAAAGTTCCACCAACAGGAATGTTAAGCTGCGGGAAGAATTGACCAAAGAATTGGCTGTCAGAACTGTAAGGCCGATTTGGGATAAACTCCTCATTGTTGTTTGCTTCACGCGCTTGAGATGTACTTATACTCCTTGTCTTTCTGCATGACTACGTTTGTGCTTTTCTTATCGTATGAAAATCCTCCTAATTGTAGTTTCCATCGTATTTAAATCTCAGATTTTCATCATTCGTAAAGAAGTTCAAGCCCTTTCCTGAGCTGACCGATATCCTTTTGAACAGTGCGAAACCTCTGGCGTATACTGACAAACACTATCTCGAAGGGGCCGTCTATTCCCCGAAGATCCTTCCCATGAGCCATTAAATCCCCCCTGTCCTCAAGAAACTAAAAGTAGTCACAGTAGCAATATCATTGTGATAACAGCACTGCAACGGAATAAATAAAGAAACATATAAATTTTATTGAATTAGATGGTAGTGAATCCATGTGCCGTGTTAAAGTCGATACATACGAAATATTTATTTATAATACTGATGTCAGTTATTTACTTTGAGTGGAATGGGTCATGTGGCAATGCTGCACTTAAACTAAAGAAGTTTTCTTTATGAAAATCATCCCTATTTGAGATTAACTTGAATCAAATGACCATAAATTCACTCGTTTTCCGTTAGGTTTGACCGGCTCGTCGATCGCGACGATAGCCTCTGCCTTTGCAGTTTCTGAGGAAAGGAGTAACTCGCAGTGAAACTGCCCAATGACTTCTCGGTGAAAATCATCGTGCCTCGTAATACAGCTGATTAGTTCGTCAAAAGTTAACTTTTGGTTTACTAGGGGAATTTCTCCACAGCAACGAAACTAGATCTAGAGCACTGACCAAGGGGAACCTTCGCCACATATAGTGCGAAGGAATAAAATGTTCTGGCAATAGAAACGAACACAGCTATCTATTCTTAACATTGGTTTCGCCATAGAAAACAAAACGCAAACGCAAGAAACTAAACATTAAGCAACGGGCATTTTCTGTTCTAATCTGAACCTAAACACTGCTGGCGAGAAATTCCGTTTTTGTCAGTCTTCGCCGAAATCTTCGAGTGATACAACGGGTTTCTCCTTCGTAATCGCAACTTCCATTTCTTCTCAACTACTTGAGTACAATGTATCAAAAATCTCGTTGGAACTTGCTGAAGATAGGTATGCATTGCTATCGGACATTATTTCAAGAGTATTTCAACGCTGACTGATACAAAATTGCAAGAGATGTGAAAGATTTGCAAGTGTTAACAGAGAGTTTTCAAAATTTTCCACGTCATCAGCCGCTAATTCGCTACCAGTCTACGGGATACTTTTAAGACTAGATAAGAGCACTTTAGGGTGCGTAAAGACCGTTTACGTTTTTTGACATTTTTCTTCAATAGAAATTGGTGTGCACATATGATGAGCTAAATATTTGCGCAAAAAACCTTCGTGTCATAGGCACTTCAAAAGCGCAGAGCATTCTACTTTGACATGAAGGTCTCAATTAGGTTTCGATCCTTATTATTATTTCGGTTGTTAGATATGTTCCCTCATAGGTCCTCATAAATTGGCTGTTGTGTTGTTTGATCGTGGGTATTCAAGCTTCGGGAATGTCGATTCCACTATCGCTATTGATGATGTTGGGATGAAGTCTTATATGGTTCTAAAAACAAAAGAGAGTCGTACATAAATGCACGCGTTTACATTCTACGTTAAGACATTCTCCTTTTATTCGATTCTTCAATCTATTATAGAATCGAACCTGTATAAAGGAAGAGTTCAACTTTTCAATGAAAATAATATGATGTTTCTCAGTGGTGAAGTTGTTGGAAAAGTACGCTAGAAGATGAACATGAGTCAAGACCCAAGAGAAAGACGAGAAGCACAAGGGAAAGCAATTTGCTTAGGCGGGAGAATACTTCAAAAGAGTCGTTCGCGTCTTGTAATAGCTGATATTGTAAAACAAGGTTTCAAAATTTATCATTAAAGATAACTCCGCTAAGTAATTTTGAGCAAACTCATAGAATAAATATTTGAGGTGAGGGAATCAACTCATGAATGAAACAGCGTGGAATCTATGACTGGCAGCAGAAATTACTTAGATTCGAATAAGGAAGATTTTCCAAGAGAGCTAGCTAACCATACGGGAACTTTTGAACCCCTCCCTATACACTGTGCTCCCTTGAACGTCCGACAGTTCAGACACAGATGTAATTAGAAATACGAGAGGCCTGATCTGTGTGCTTCAGTTATCTGTTCTGTTGAGCTGCATAGCGTGTTCAATACCAAGCCATTGACCAAATAAACTTCTTAAAACAACAGTTATTATTGAGAACTTCATTGCACAGAAGCAAATGTCAAAACTAAAAATTTACCGCGTCCTGAGTTTTAAAGGAAATAAAGAACTATTCGTGACAAAACATCATCCATAATCGTAGCAGAGGGCCGTTTGTTGGTGATGAAATAAAAGCGGAAGGCTTTGTGCTTTAAGTGATTTTTAATTTGTCTCATAGCATAGACTCGTTGGTGTGCTGATTGAAAAGGAAAAGAGAGAACAAGCGCTTTTTCCATTCGCCGAAAAACTTCATGAATAATCCCAATGCAGTCCAGCGCTCACTGTATATCGTGATTCCACGATGCTTCTGTGCAGTTTATGACAGCTGCATGGTTATCATTGCCGACCCGTTAAAAAGTCATCTCCTCATCAAAAGGCAAACTAATTTATATTTTTTTACCGAGCTTAACTTTGCATATGACATTTAAGACCTGTGATAAGCGCATGCTCTGATCTATTTTCTACTTTTATTGCAATATTTATATAAGTGCGGAAACACTTTGTAGTTATCATAGAGTGCGTGAACCATAAACCGCTTCTGATGCTCGTTCCTCATGGGCATGAGAGAGGTGAAACTTTTCTAGAATAAACACTGTTTTTTTTAATTATTTTAATGATATCTCATTTTAAGAAAAACTTTTACGATAGCTTCAGCTAGAAAACACTTTCTCTTCTCCACTCTCTTCTCGTATTTCTTCTTCATATCGTTTGACAATATAACAGCTCCACTCCCACAATTAATTCAAGTTGACGTTTTTAATATCAGCGTAGATACCAAAATAAATCTATTTATAGCGTACATCAAGGTATCAAATGAACTACACCGATAAAACAAAAACACTTCGTCTAGATTCAACTCTCTCTCAAGAGCCGTCCAAACTTCAAGCTATCGTCAACACTACATGATTAGATCATTGCCATCTGCGTCGTTAATCCCGTGCCGGTAGTTTTAGCCATACTGGAGAATGGAATCGCACTGGTTATCCTAAATTCTGTGTTGTCCGAACTTTCTTCAACATATTCATTTTCTCGTTGGCTCTCATCGACATTTTAGTCGGTTTAGTTGTCCAATCGGCCTTGCTGGAAAAATCAATCCATTTGGGTTTTTTTTTTTTTTTTATTGTTGTTGTTGTTTTGTTTTTTTTTCTGTTGTTTTGTTTTTTTGTTGTTGGTTTTTTGTTTTTTTTTCACTGCAGGGCAGAAATAGTTTGTGAAGAATTGTCGCTGACAACGCTTAGCCTGTTTGCTTCGGTTCTTTGCTATTGGCTATTCCCCGTAAGTACATTAACTGCATGGCAAAAACTCGGCCTAAAGCAATTGTCGCAACAGTCTGGGCTATGTGAATTATCTTCATTCAGATATTTGAAAGAATAAAAGGACGATTTTGTTTTTCTCCAACTGCTTCCAGTCTCATTGGATTCAGCCTTGTGTTAAACATCGCATTACCTTTCACGATATTTAAGATAATAAGGTGTCACGAACGACAGATTCACACGCACAAAGTAAAGCCAACATGGAGATTCACGCGCGTGACAATTAAAGCTGTTCCACGCAACAGCCGCAAACGTTGAAAAAAAAAAAAAAAAAAAAAACGCGAGAAGCGTATGGCACGAACAGTGTATCACACTGGTGCATATCACAAGCGTGCTTTTGCTTTGTAATTCGTGGCAACCTCCTTGGGTGACGTGGTAATTGAAAATGATGCACTTTAACATTATCTGTCATACCCTCTAGCCGAGACTACAACACTCCTTAATTTATCCCCGAACGCATTTCCTTAATGCTGCCGATGAAAAGATATAGGGGAAAAATCTGGCTCGTTGTAAAAGGAGAAAAATATTTAACCTCAACTGGGTTTGATTAGTCAACGAGGCACTGGATAAATGCTTGTCTGAAATTGAGTCTTTTAAAATCAGTTTTTAAAAAGAGCAGGCTCGTGGTGTGAGGTGGAAATGTATATATTAGACACTTTTAAAAGAAGAGCAAAGCCGAGTTTATATAATATCCATGGTACATTCCTGACTCTGTCCAAATCTAACGTGGTTTTTATACCCTTCCAACGAATAAAGGTTTCTAACAACTTTATGCAAAACATTCAAAGAGAGAAATTAACTCAGTAACCATTACGCCGGCTAACTGATAGAAAGTGTGCTTTATTAATAAAACATGTATGGTGCGTCAAAGTCATATCTTCTCGAACTAACCAAAATGTTCTTATTGCTGTTTTTTTTTTGTTTTGTTTTGTTTTTTTTTTTACTTAAAGATCTTATAATCTAAAAATAAGCAATCTTATTATCTAAATTTAAATTAAAGACTCAAAAAAATTACGCATTGCGTTTTGAAGAACACCGCCTTTGCGGGAGTCGCTAGTGCCTTTAGTTGCAATGAAATGTCATCCAGAGGTCTCTCAATAGCCAGAGAGATTTCAACGCAAGTTCTAAATGTTTAAGCCATCTAAAGCGAGATATTTCATGAGGCATAGCAAAATAGTTTTAAGACAAATATTTCAAAGAAGTTCTTCAGCTGCTTTCTTCAATTAAGTGTGAAAATTCATTGGATGTTCCTGTTTTTCTGACTACTCTATTTTTGAGACGTGATACTCCTTTGCTAAGGAAAATGAAACATCGGATCGGGTTGAAGGTAATGTACTTCCAAATTGACTTCACATGTAGAATTCCTTTTCCTGCAAAGTAGAAAAAAGAGACGGATTTCATAATTTATACATGTAATTGAAATCTTACACGAAAGCGTTTAAAACGGTAAAGTGTCCCTTTTTTTCTAAAATTTATCTTTGTTTTGGCTCTAGCTAAGGAGCGTTTTGAGAATGGGTGTTGACATTTCGTTAGCACAGAGGTTTGGATTCTTTCTAAGATCTCGAAATTCATTATAGTCCATCTGCACCTCGCAGTTTTCTGTCTTCTACCAACACTCTCTAATGTTGGAACACTACAGGACATGAAAAGAGAAAATAACTCAGCTATCAGGATAACAAGGTCTAAAAGTTCCACTTACAGGAAGAGTTAAGCTGAGAGAAGAATTGACTGAACATCGCGATCTGTTTTAAGGTTGCAGTTGTGTGAGCCAGTGCTATAGAGAGTCAAATATCCTAAATAACCTGGATATGGCTACTATGTTGTCATAATACTTTCATTGCGCTTAAAACGAAAAAGCTATGGGATTGAGAAAACCCTCCCTTCACGCTACCGTTCCTTCATTTATTTGGCAAATGGGTAAAACGCACATTTAATACCGAAAACAGCACAGCATGTTGACTTACCAATGGCAACCAACAGTACAGAGGCGTTAAGGACCACGAACAGGACATTTACAAAGATGGAGTCGTTCTTGCCCTCGCCTTGACTCTTATCCCAGTTTGTATAAACTGCACCGAGACAATCGTCAAAGAAACTGATCCAAAGAACAAAAGTTTGCTAGCGGTCTTCAAACTTATTCTTGATTGGTCGGAATAAGGTGTAGATAACTCCAAAGACACTAACCGTCAGAACTGTAAGATCGATTTGAGAAAGATTCTTTGATCCGAACAGAAAAATCAACGAGATTAGAGTCAGCTTGCGATACATCTCTGTGATTTCTCAAAACCAAAATTTCTTCGTATAGTTTTCAAAGAAAACTCTGAGTCCGAAAGAAATTGCTTCGTTTTCCTGGGACTCGCGATACTTGTAAGTGAGAAACAGAGCCAGAAGTGGAAATCCTACGGGATATAATGCCAAGATAGAAGCCATGAGCCAATACAAGCTGTGGGGAGGAGTGAAACACTGGATGGAGTAGTCAGCTCTCAGCAGGAAGATGCAGTCGCTCTTGTCGTCAATGAAACAAATCTCTACAAAGGAACCAGGAAGAAGAAGAATCTGAATGATGGATTTTGTCGTCGTGGGGTAGGTCGTCAACAACAATAGGAAAATGTTCCGATAGCAAGATTTCTTCAAACTCTTAACTTCCGTTACTTTCTGGTCTTCACCAAGGTCCTCCTTATTCATGATGTAGCGCTTTTTAAGAAATAGATGCAAGAAAATCAAGCCAACGAATGAGACATTCATGACAACAATCATCGTGAACTTTCCAAGCTGATCAAGCCGTAAAGAAGTATGAATGCAACTAAGAGGGGCAAACTGCAAGATGTTCCCTTCAAGTACTTTTAGAACCTTCTCCGTTGAGATCAAAACGACTGGCCATTGGACTTTCGCCAATGCCGAGAAAATACCGGCAATAACTTGGTAAAAACCCACTCACAATCTTAAAGCACGACATGACGACATCTGCAACTGTCCGGTTATTGTCCGCACGTTTGGAGTCACCCCAAAGAACCATTAGAAACAGCAACAAAAAGAACAATTACTTAGATGGATGAAGTTATTGTTACAGCTAACCGGGGACATTTCAAACAAGAGTTGAAGCGAAAATAGAAGCTTTCAGAGCAGGTTGCACACAAAGTCCCTTGATATCCTTGATGGCATTCTGAATCAATTCCACCTTTGCAGGACTTTGCATGGGGACATTTCAGTGGCTTCGGAAGTGAAGTATCGAACGTGGAATATGACTTGCTGTAGTGCACTTACCATATGGACAAGCCACGCAGTCGGCAGCTTTGGTTCCAGGACTTAGCTGTTCAGAAACAAATGTACCATTACTGCATCTCTTATATTCAATTTGTCCCATTTCATCCTGATAAAAGCCACCTGTGAAGATATTATATTATAAAACAAGGAGGGATGCAATCATTAAAAACAATTGCAGAGTGGAAAAATTTTTATAAATGTTATGGTTTGCGCAACCATTAAGTTATTTTTTGTTGCTTGCTTTTGGTTATAATATTGAGAAAGTTGAGAAAGATACATTTGCTACCATAGGCCGAGCAGAGGGATTATAAAACTCTTCTTTTAACTTTCAAATCGTCAAATGATATGGCTCCTATTTACTTAAAGGAACGTTAAGAGCCTTGCCATCCTCTTGTAGATTTTACTTGTAACACCAAGATATAGTCTTCGGTTGTTTGGTCAAAGAGCTTTATTCATATAATGCACCAGTATTATGGAATTCTCCTCCAGTGGTTATTAGGAGGTGCAAGTCGTTGATCCCGTTTAAATTTAAGCCTAAGGCTCTTCTTTTTAAACGAGTTTTTATTTGACATATTACAAAATTCAATTATGTGGCTTAGACCTTTCCTTGAAATATATTTTTAATTGGTATCCTAGTCTTCATTATTTTATCAAATAACTTTGAGTATTATGATATAAAGCGCTGTTGGATACTTTGAAGAAACGGCGCTTATATGTTATTGTTTATATCATTTTTTACACTAACGATGAAATAGGAGTTCATTCTCATTACCTGTAGGACACTCTAGACTGCGATTTTCATCAGTATACATGTAGGTACCAACTGGACAGAGACTGCAGTTATTGCACTTAGTTGTAAAACTTTGTTTTTTATGGGTCGTGGCACATAAAACCTGAGCGCGAAAAGCCAGATCTGAAGTTACTTAGGTCGTTGTCAAAGATGAGGTACAGAGATGTCGAGGGAGCACACTCACTGAAGATTAGATAATAATAATAAATCAAAAACTCGCGCGGAAAAACATTTTGAGTTTTACCAGAAGAGGCCTCGAAATGAAATGACAATTAACCCGTAAGCTCGCATTGGATTTGAAAATGGTTTAAACCCATTGCAGCGCAGGACCGAATTTGCTCTAACCTTGAGATTATGTCTAGTAAATGCAAATAGTTAAAACCGCTGTACGAAATGTATGCTTCAGAAAATTCCCGCATTTACCACATTTTTGATTCATGCCAAGGCTGCAAACCAATAAAAAGGCCCCATGCATGTTTACGTAGTCAAATTTGATTTCTTTCCATCCCCTCCCCAGCCTCACTTTCGAGGTGCGCACTGATGAAATTAACCAAGTGAGTAATCCCAAAAATATTGAAATCAAACTAAAACCCTCAGGAAAATAACATGAAAATGGTTAAGTTTCCTGAAAATTTTGGTGCAACAGAAGCCAGGAGGGAATTTGCACTGGACGACGTTGCCTTTAAGGCGACGCTTGAGCTATATTTTCAAGACTTTCAATGTATCATGGTTAGACCAAGAAAGCCTTTTATACTACGGCTAACTTTTAATAACTACACATACTAAATTTCCTAAGTCAAAGAACGGTGTAGATGTCCATCAATGGAAAATGTTGAAGCTGATTCTATAGGGTGTATAAAAAAGTTGTGGCCTACTTACATTTGTGACACATATTTTCCCCGAGGCAGCTGACGAAGATTTTTACACGTCAGTGACCTGTAAACAAACATGTCAGTGACCTGAATCGAAACTGATTGGATGTAAAAGACAACGCGATCATTATGAGAATGGTGGTAATTAATGATTAGTCAAAAGGCCCGCGTCGCCAAAACAAACTCAGGTTTCAATAACTTTGAGTGACTTGAGGTTTTGCTTCTTCTCTCGGATTAGATGTAGATCATCACCCGATATTTCCCCTCCTCCCCTCAAATTACTCGGAAGTTAAAACTACTGAGGGTACGAAAACCGACTCGAGATAGACTACACCAATAAAGCTATAACTATAACAACAATGACGAAGATGTCAACGACAACGAAGAAGATGTCAACGACAACGAAGATAATAAGGATGATGAAGACGATAATAATACTATGAGGTTTGTTTCCGCGTTAAGGGTGCACTCGTCTTTTCGTAAATATACGTCATTTTGTATATCTTAAAGTGCCCATAATCTAGGAGTCTACGACTAACTTCAATTTCTAGTAAAATAGTAGACGATGTCTATTTAAGCCATACGGCTTGACTTGCACTTTGGTTTGGTTTGTCATTTTGTCGAAAATTCCATCTGGTAATGAGCTGAAAGGATTATCAAAGATGGTTCTGAAATTAAAATATCTACTCATTACACAAGAAACGATTTGATAGACATTGTAAAAGCTTCCGATATCAGCGCGGTTTTTTAAAAATATGTTTGTTTTTTCTTCTAACATCGACCGAAGAGACAAGAAAACGTTCAGCTCATGAAAGTTATCTCCTTTTCAGAGCTCTAAAGGGAATCAGTCTATTTGTCAATTTACTCACAACTGTTCCAGTGCAAGTCCGTCAAAAGCCTTGCTTTCAACAGTTTTAATTGCATTACTGTGAAGAGGCCTACGGAAAAAAATACGTTTCGGTGACCTTTTATTCTCAATCAAAATATTCTTGATTAAAAAAAGAAGAAAATATAATCCTTTTGCTAAATAACGACAACCTGGATATATCTTAGAAGCCGAAGCAACTCATGTCTTATCGTGTAACTAGTAATGATACACTACAATACACATGTTACAACATTTCGTGATGTGTGGAAAATCTCTGAACCAAAGTCTATTCTTGCATTATACATTCCAGGCGAGGAGTTTCATCAAAAACTTTAGCATTAAATTTAGGGTTCTTTTTGAGTAGGACTGATAAGTGAGAGGCCACGATCTCGACCTCAACAAAAATTTATTGTATTGTTCCATTTGGCATAAGTGAGCTGATAACTTTCTACATTGGTTTTCATCTTTTACTTACAGAATGTTTGATTGATTGAGTCTGGCAAACACGTTATCAGGTAATGGCTGCAACTTGTTGAGCGACAAATCACCATGGAAAGACGAGAAAAATGAAGTTATCGATAAGAAAATAGACGCTAAAATCCTGAAGGGAGACGTATTTAAGCCTTTATCCCCTGACATTATACTATTCTCTAGACCTAATTTCCTAAGCTGCTAACAAGGATAATTTGTTTAACAATTAAGAACTCCAACAGTTAGTGATCATTTCCTCTATTCTCATGACCTTAATGTTTGATTCTGGGCTGATATCGTGGGGAGAAATTATTTGCTGGTCACTGTTAGGGTTTAATGGGTTGGAAGAAGAACCATCCTCAATTAAAGTAAATGACTCAAAGATCAAACCCATATTTTCTGTACATCAAGTTTCAAACGTTAGTAGAGCTGGTACACACTTGCAATTGAATATAATCCAAGGCATCCAGAGGAAAAGAATCCAGTTTCTTGGCAAATAACCTAAAATGTAACATTTAGTTTAATACAGACCAAATACTTACAATTCATACACTTTTCCAATTCCAGATGTGACGATCCTTGATAAATCTGAAATTCGATTGTGTTGTAGATTTCTAAGACGAACATAAGAGTCTAAGCAAGTCAAGTTTGAATTTCTGATGCTGATCGACAGAATATATTCTCCAGTGTTGATATAAATTTTGGTTCAATAAGATGATAAAAAAATCACACATATGGTGACCACACCCAAGCACCAGAGGCCACATTATGGCATGTCTAACGTTCAGTTGTCTCACTCATTTTTTTTTTCTGTTATTATTTTAGTTGAGATTGTCACTTTTCCTAGAGAGATAGATAGATAAATAGAGGAATCGGTCGATCGATTGATCAGTAGATGGAAAATGTATCAGTGACTGCTAATAGATTGATACATGGAAATGATAAGGCTAATGATATCTTCACGATTTTCCAAATAACAGCAGATTTCAAAATTTTTTAAATGTTACTGGCATGTACAACTTTAGACGGACAAAATTAGCTTATTTTGTAAAACGTTTAAAAGTGAGCAATTTAACTAATAAGGAATTCAAATAAAAGGACTTCAGTGGTAAATTACAGCTACGAAGCTTTCGAGAACTAAGAGAATTACATGAGACAGTATAAGTTAGTCAAGCCTTTATAGATTGTGCTAGAAAAATTTGGCACAAGTAAAATGACGTCATGGTAACCGGATTTGACAAGATTGCGGTTTTACTTCTCACGAAGGTTGCTTTTTTTTAGTTTGCGAACACGGCCGAAGGTTAAATTCGAGCTTTTTTTGTTGGAGGACGGCATTTTTTAGGAGTGGGATTTTTCATTTTTTGTCGGAGTGGAAATAAAAAGTTTCAGTTCTGTATAGAAGATCTCTATATTCGGTGCTCTTAAATGTGTTTTGAAGCTGTCTGTTATTTAAACGTGATATCTCGAGTTAATTTTATCGCTAACACGTTCACCTTGTCCACTCGTAAGCAATGCATAAGATGAAATTTGTTTCGATGAATGACACAAAAAAGTGCTGTGTATAAAAAAGGTATAATAGCTACTTACAATCGATAGATAGTGTCAGGACCTGTCAAATCTGGTACAGATGTCAGCTTATTGTAGTCCATCGTGCTATCGAATCAGGCAAACGAAAAAATATAAAAGAGTTGTAATGAGCTCTGATCAATACGCAAACACTCCTTTCTCTTTGTCTTGGAATTTTTACTTCCTCAGTGATTTCGTCGTTTCCACTTTTTTTTATTTGTTTTCCATCGTAACTCGTAATTAATCAAGGGTATATGAGTCATCTGAGATAAAGTTGGCGTTTTGTGACGAGTGACTGTTTCATAGCGTAGAATGGCTATTGTTCTTGTGGCATTTACTTACAGTTCAAGAAGACGCATAGGTCTGTCATAACGCTTATTACTATTCATGGAAGCCCAGAAAGAAGCTTTTTTATTGGTTGCTATGAACGCGCGGCAATACTCATTAACTTGAATGTGGCGGCAATTTTTCCTTATTTTCAAGTGCAAAAGGATACTCCTTCCACTTGTTCAATCTACTTATTTTAGTCTTAAATTGTTGATACAACATTCCTCTTCAAAATTCCGTGCGTGGGTTTTAAGATTTTTAATTCTTGAAATCAGGAAAGCAAGTTTTATCAACGCTACTTGGCCAATTATGGCCCTTTCTTCTCTAATTTTGGGCTTTTCAGAGCGCGTATTTGCGCTTCGGTGATCATGAATATTTAATGAATGTCACAGCATTCTGTCCTAGGTCTTTATGCCATGCTACAAAGTCCTTCTTTATTTGTGCCAATTTAAATCTGCTTCTTGCCGAAATCTTTGCCATTTTACCTGTTTTATGCGAGAATTTTTAAATCACTTAGCATGTTTTGAGATATTTAAATTGTTTTAAAATGCCATTACCCATTGTCTCTAGCTCGTTTCATGAAAGGTAACTATTAGCAAGTGTAAAGAGAATTGAGATATCTGGTCTTCGAAAGGGTGAGGGAGGGAGTATGGTGGGTCCAACAATTCAATAAAAAAGAAAATAAAGTAGGCGAAATATAAGAGGTGCTACCCGTGGTTTGGACCCTAAGTACACTGAAGATTTCCATTGTCCACAAAAATAACCGAGGTATGTGAAGTTATACCTTTCAAACTCGCACTACCCAGCACCAGGGAAAGAAAAGCAATGTATAGCCAATGTACTTACAAATATCTGAGCTGATCCGTAAGTCCTTCCATTGTCTCCTGGTGTATACGAGTCAGCTTATTCGAAGACAGACCGCTGAAAACGGACAAATTTCAAGCAATAATATGGTGCCGCTTAATCCAGGTTGATTCCACCGCAGATAAACCTGTCTGTAATGGTCCGAAGTCAAGGACGTGACAAGTGAAGGGTTCGCAACACAAAACTTAGTACCAGATCTATTCCCTTTGTTGAACTCAGACTTAGAATTACATTGCAAATTGAATAACAAAGAATAGCGTGGCTAATTCTGAACAAATTCGCTAAAACTTCGACCATGAACTCCGGAGGGCCTAGAAAGCCACGTTCGAGAGCAATATTTCAAGAAAATCTATGTGGTTGGCGTTGATCCAGTAGCCATTCGAAGCGAGCACTGAATTCAACTCAAAATGTCTTTCCCCGATAGAAGTCTCGGACCTTCTTTCTTATTTACTTCTGGAGACAAGTTATTGCGCAAATAAGCAATTTAAAGCATTCAAAAGTCTCGAGGCGTACAACCAAATGGTGTCTGGCTTCGTAATATCGGTTCAAGGAGCAGAGATTGTTAACAAGACTGTAGTTGTGGCGAGGGTGAGATATAAGCAGCAGATGAACAATCCTCTTGCAGACATTTGGATTGCCGCAGAAAGTGGTACACAAATATACGTCAAGCAAAAGGAACGAATATAGCAGGAGAAACATACGAAAAGTTCCTCAATCATAACGCACCGATTCCAACGCAGTACCTCACGGAAATGCTCGGCTTAAGCCTGAGGGAAAATTCGTTTTAATTCATTGAGGAGAGCTTCCTCCAAAAACATGGAACCGCTCTGGGTATGAAAATAGCAGTGTCATTTGCCAATATTTTCATGGAGGAAATTGAAAAGAAATTAATCCAACAAAGCGAAACCAAACCAAAAGAATGGAAACGTAACATTAATGACGTTTTTTCCTTTTGGAATTGCGACAGAAAAGAGATAAATCGGTTCATTAAACGGGCAAACTATTTCCACCCCACTACCAAATTCACGGCTGAAATATCAGAGAATCAACCAAATCCCTTTTCTCGATACCACGGTGTTCAAAGGGGAAGGATTCGCAAAAAATTCCATCTGGAACATCAAGACTCATCAGAGGTAGACCGAGACTCTCCAAATTACACACTTCGCCTCGTGCCACCAACCAGGCGTAAAATATGGTTCATTAAAGGCAAGCAAGAAGATTTCCAGGAACTAACTCTTCGAAAAAAATATTTGAAGTCGGCCGTTTGAAATTTAAACAAAGCCTTAAAGCAAGAGGGTACCCAGAAAGCATCATAGAAAGGTGTCTGTCAGGGGTCAACTTTGCCTCTTAACAATCGGCCTTTAAACATACACAAAAGCCGAAAGGTCACAACGTTCATTGCCTTTCGTCACGACGTACCACCCGGCAGTTAAAAATTTAAACCAAATATTGATAGAACAGTGGCGTCTGATACACAATCAGCCCTTACTGAAAATAAATTTTACAAAACCTCCGATCATCTTTTATAAAAAGGAAAAATCTCTCTCAGACATGCTTGTGAAGCAAAAAATATAATTTGAAGGTGATAATGCGACACGACCATGAAAGCCACTTGGCGAGTCCGTGCTGGTCTATCTTTACCATTATTCGCACATGGTGTCGCTGCGACTTATCGCTTGTATCTATTTTTCTTTCCTCTCTGAAGTCAATTCTTCTTCGTAAGAAGACTTATTTTTAATAACTGATGGTATTCGATAAAACACAATCCCTTTGTCCCGATCACTTCTGCTACCACAGCTGAAAACTACACAAAGAACCATTCCTACTTTCTCACTCACACATTACTACAAGCGCATTTGTAACTAATTGTTTGGGCACGAACATGGCGGAGAGCAACCGTCGTCAAGACAAAAGTAACGTGGGTGAAAACCAGGAATATCAATAAGAATTTCTGCCGCTAAAAATCAGCTCATAAGCGGTTTTGGCCTGGCTACAAAGTTATCTCTAAAACAGTGGCGTGCATGGTCGAATTCCTAGCGCATTTATTACTAATTTATGAACGGTCGATGTACTTTTTTAAAATCTGAAAACATGGCAATCGGTTAAGTTTTGTACTCAATTTTTAAGTGCACAGAGGAAGTTAATTAGCCATTTAGACACACCCTCATCAAGACATGCTTAAATGTCTTAAAAAAAAGTGAAAAAAATGATAAACACTACTTACAGTCCTTGAAGGTGTCGCATTGCTCGAAAAGTTATGTGAAAAAGTCACCGTGGTAGAGAATTTTAATGAAGAATATTATTCAAATATTAAAAGGTTGGTATTGGCTGTTTGAAGAATGCACTCTAAAAAAAAAAAACCGGAGTAACCATAATTAGACAGTTAGAGCGGAACATTCCTTCATAATTTTTCAATATGCTTCTCTGTCGGGCCAAACTAACTGTTCCTAACTTGTTAAACCTAGTAACCAAGCTTGTTTTCTTGGAGATGGCTGCAGCTAATACCTAACAAATGCACAGAGTGTTCAGTGAAAACAGTTATTCTTATGTAACTCATATGTCAGCAAAGGGTGGTTATGTGGTAATTAATCGTGTTTATAAATACAGCAATGTAGCGATGTGGTCATTTTGGATGTGAATGCAGCTTTTCTACGAATACTCCTTTTCAACGGCTGTTATTGGCGCCGGCACTCAACACTCAACTCGCACAGACTTTAGAAGTCCTATAGAGCACCTGCTCGTCGGCGAAAACCGCACGATTTGATGCAACAGCAGAATTGCCACATCACAGTATACCACAGCGAATCATAACAGAGTATAATGTTTGATGAGGCAACAATCGACTTCGGCGTCCGAGTTAAACTAAATATGCACAGATGAAACGCCAGGATTTACTTCAAACGTCACTACATCGTGAGACAAACGTTCAATATGAGACTTCATATTAGTTGGTGATTTGTCGAGCCACTGGACTTACAGATATGTCATACTTTCAAGCCCGGCGAAGATACCTGATGGCAGAGAAGGTCCAAGTGGATTTCCACTAAAATCTCTGTAAAAGTAAACCGTTTGGAATAAGTCGCAACTATCTGCTAATTAAATATGGGCCGATCTGAGGTGTGAAATTTTAATTCCTTATAAACTGTGATGAACGAGTATTTAGCGAATATCTCCAACGACTATATGCTTAAAGCATTCGAAAATATAGTTTTTGTAATTTTTTAATCAACTTAAAACATGACACTTACAGTGTGTGAAGCCGTGTTAACCCTTTCAGAATGACCTTCACATCAGCGATTGATAGTAAGTTGTGACTGATTTTCCTAAACAAAGGCAATATCTAAAATCAACTTAAGGTGTTAAACAGTGGGCTTAAATGATTCACGAAGCCTCATTTATACTACACTGTTTCATTCATCCATATCCATACACTGTTTTTCTTTTCTTTTTTATTTACTTGGTTTTTTAAGAAAATAAGACAAAGGAAAGGATAGGAAATACTAATGTAAGCAGTTCATCATCATTTTATTCATATTTTTTGGAGAATACAAGCATAAAGCAATATTTCAGCAGTAATCCTTAATGTACTTTAATTGTGGCATACAGCTTTGAGAAGCACCTTATCAAATATAACTCACAGAGAATGAACGTTTTCTGGAACGTAAAAACTCCCAGAAATTGAGTTGTTGGAAAGATTTCTGGGAAGAAATGATAACAACTGTCATGAAACAAAGGCAAGAAAAACCAAAGACAGAAAGATAGATAATCATATTCTATTCACCTCGACTCTTCACAGCTCGGTAAATATCCACCACTAGCCACCCCCACTTAGGTGAATAGTTGTTTATCATAATGGAAAAAAAATGGGAAATACTTTTCCACTCGTTTCCTGATTTTTTCTCAACCACATTTTATAAACTGTTTAAATTAAATCATTAGGAATTCCCTTACATTACTTCCAGTTTCTCCATATTGCGGAAAGTGTTTTGAGGGATGCGTCGCAGTGAATTATTTGATAAGTCCCTAGAAAGAGAGGGAGAGTACGTGAAAAAAAAAATTGATTCTCGTAAGATTAAGCATAAAATTTTCCAAAAGACAAATTACATTCCCTTTCCTTTTTTACTCATCATTAGAAGGGCGATATTAGTATCTTAAAGATCACCAAATACTGTCGAAATCTACCAGCATTTTAGAAAAGGGCCATGTTTTTTCTTTTAATTTTTAAAAAGAAAAAGTACTTTGCTTGAAGACAAAACTTTTCGATCCAATACGAATTTCTCATTAACAGAAATTCAAAGTTATTTTTTTACATTCAATTTTATTTGCAACTTACAATTTCTTTAAAACAGTCAGGTTCCTAAAGATGTCTTCTGTAATTGAGCTCAACGAACAACTTGAAAGATCCCTGGGAAAAAATCAAACTGTCAGTAAAAATGGTACTGAACATAAATTTGAATTCTAGAGAAAGAAAGGTCCGAAAGGAATAACTAATGAAATCAGCGATTATCTAAATCAGAAAAGTATTTTAGTTGAAATTGACACGTAGCGTCCAATCATTAAGTTTTTCACGGCAGTCTGTACGGCATTTCTTATGATTAATTTTAAATCAGGAATAACAATGATGGCAAAACACGCTTAAAACGGCAAAAATCGCCAGAAACCACAGTGGACTCACAAGATGTGAGTAAGTTTTATTGATTTATGTGTAAACTGTTCATATTTCGGAATATTTATCGCTGTAAATCAACCATATTTCGTTCTCCATATTATTTCTTATAACTTATTCAAATCCTTAACGATTCCTCTCGTAAATTAACACCAAGGCACACAACGCGTGACAGTTTCATGAATAAATCGTTTGCTTTTTCTCAAGACGTGAGCTTGGGCCACCCGTGGTTCGTTCGGAAGTCATCTTTCCTTTTTGTTTTTTCTTGGCATTGACCAAGACTCCTCAACAAGTTTGCAACATATAAAACTACCTTCATCCCGGATGTGTCTAATAACTATTAGCTAAGTAACGAATATGAACACAAAGAAGATGATAAAAGCCCCTGCAGGACGAAGGATAGCGAAGTTTCTTTATCACTTACAGCTCTATTGTATTGCTTGGGATTCCGGTTGAAATGAATCCAAGACCTCGACATGTTACCTTCACCAGGGCGTGAATCCTACCGACCTCGGTACATTGACAGATTTTTTGGCTGCAAACGTCACTCTCACATGCTTTTACAAACCCCAAGACCAAGACGACTTGTAGCACACCTGTAAACATCGTTACCGTGGCCAGAGCGATTTGCTAGAAACGCAAATTATAATATCCTGATTTCAAGATAACTAATGAAAAAAGACTTATTCGAAACCGATATCCGTCGTTCAAAAGCAACATGGCTAACTTTACGAGGTCTTGGCATGTCTCTCCGTAAGGTTATTGAGATTCGTATACATAACGACTGTTTTCAGTGAGAGTAAATCAGTTTTAACCTAATATTTCCTAGACAGGATGCTAAGAGGTCAACATTTTTTTCTTAACAAAAAAATTGCAAATTGGTCAAAAAAAATATTTTGCTACGCTGTTGAAAAGCTTATCCATTAAATAAACTCATCCAAATATCTCTCACAGTCAAGTATCGATCTCTTCGAAGAATGTTTTCGAAGTCGTATAGCTTCCTTCCTTTTATAGTCCTCTTGTAATTCGCGAATTAAGCGGATTTAATAAGCACGCGCAGTTGCGTTTGCTCGTTAAGATGTTATCTAATGTCGCAGATTTTGTGATTTGAAGGCTAATATTAGTTTGAAGACATGGTTGACAATAAACATCTCGCTCTTCGACCTTGACTATAAAATTTATGGCCCTTCGACAACTATTGCTTCAGTCCGTGCCTCCCAGATAGCAGCTAGACATTCTCACTACCTGTTTGTAACATAACGTTAACTGACGACAGGCAAATGCATCACCGGAAACAATAAGTTTCGAAACGCTAAGGCATTAAGATTAATTATGAGCACTTGTTACTTCATATTATTTAGAAGCAATTACGGATTTCAATCTGCTAACTACAAAAGTTCATAAAAGCTAATGAACCTCAAAGTAGAAAATGAGGTAAAGAAATAAGAAGACAATAAAGATATGGCCATATTAAACTGGTTGTAACCCCTGCCTTTAGTAATTATTTAATTGATTTCTTTCAAGGGAACAGGTTACGGAGCTGAAGACCGCATGAAGTTTCGAAACTCTGAAGCATTAATATTAATTATGAGCACGCGTCAATGTATATTATCAAGTACTCTCAAAGGAAGATACACGAGGTGTCTTGATTCAAGACTAACAAAAATAATTTATACAGATTAGAAACATAAGCTCTATTTCTTTTACACTACTTTAGCACTGCTCACAGCACTGGTGGGTGAAAGATTACTTCCTAATTATGACCTCCGCATCACAGTTTCGGTTCGGTTTTTGTCACAATAGTTTAAAACAGTTTGGTTTCGAGCCCTTGACAGTTGATACTTGAACCAGCGACACATTCTCTTGATTACCATAGGCGATAAGGAAGACTCGAAGCAAAGTCAACAAATGCGAGCGGAAGTTTTAATGGAAAATACCGACTTCTAGAGAAGTATTACATTCTAAAAATATTTGGGACAAGTTCAGGAAAAACCCACATTTGAAGGTCATCCCCTGCTTGGTAGATAATTACTAATAGTTAAACAATCTTGTCAGTATAACGAACTTTTGATAATCATTTGAGGCAATTCAGTCATTTGAGCGGCTTGGGTTATTTGAGGTAATTCAGTCATTTTAGCTGGTTGACTCATTTGAGGCAATTCAGTCATTTGAGCCAGTTGGGTCATTTGAGGCAACTGAGGTATTTGAGGCGGCTGGATCATTTGAGGCAATTCAGTCATTTGAGCTGATTAGGTCATTTGAAGCAATTTAGTCATTTGAGCAGCTTGGGTCATTTGAGGCAATTTAGTCATTTGTGCTGGTTGAGTCTTTTGAGGCAATTCAGACATTTGAGCTAGTTGGGTCATTTGAGGCAATTCAGGAATTTGAGTCCGTTGGGTCATTTGAGGCAATTGTAGCATTTGAGCTGGTTGGATCATTTGAGGCAATTCAGTCATTTGAGCTGGTCAAGTTATTTGAGGCAATTCAGTCATTTGAGCCAGTTGGGTCATTTGAGGCAATTCAGTCATTTGAGCTGGTTGGGTCATTTGAGGCAAATCAGTCATTTGAGCTGCTTGGGTCATTTGAGGCAATTTAGTCATTTGAACTGGTTGAGTCATTTGAGGTAATTCAGACATTTGAGCTGGTTGGATCATTTGAGGCAATTCAGTCATTTGAGCCAGTTGGGTCATTTGAGGCCGCTGGATCATTTGAGGCAATTCAATCATTTGAGCTGGTTGGGTCATCCTTTTAGAGTTCTCTTGTCCTCCATCAGATGGAGTACTCCAAGATTTTCTCAGTCCAAGTAAATATTTTCTCTTTAAGTTAATATTTTAGAAGTGTCAATGATTTTCAAATTTGGCTTAAACTGTTATAATTAATATATCAGAGTCAAAGATACATGCAGCCTTCACAGTTAAGGTTTAAGAAAATTCTGTGTTTGAATTGCAGCTAGTTGTATTTTTAGTCAATTAAATTTATTCTTCAGTTGCAATTTCAAACATTAGAAGTTTTTAAAATAGATCTAAGGTATAAAATTAAATGTAAGGTGGTATTGTCAGAATGTTGCCTTGATTCCCTCAGCACATGAAGTTCACATAATTATATTTTCTTCAAACCTTGACACTCATTTTTGCAAAATGTTTATAGTTTGTATATATAGACCCACACATAATTTTTCAGACAGTCATCCTTCCAATTTTATAATATCGGTTATACTGTACGGGTTAAGTTTTGCCTCTTGGCTTTAGAGAGAAAAAAATGTGTAAAGTGAAAGAAGGTTGCATTGTGCATTAATAAACTTGATAAGAATTATTAAAGGAGTGCTAATCCTGTCTGGGAGAGGGAAATAGGACAAAATGCTTTGAGAACCTGCAGTAGAGCTGAGTCCAGGAAGTGAAATTTAACGAACAGTAATTAACCGTGCGGCGGTAAACGCGGGAAAATGCATCCCTTGCACGAATTCACCGTTACAGAAAATACCGGAAAATGCATGCTTTCGACTGGTTAATACCAGTGAACATAACGTTGGAATGCGCAAAATGGCTGTAAATGGCAGAATACATGTTGTTTTCCATAGATTAACCGAACAACAATAAAAGGTAAAACGCCTGAAAATGCGTTTTCACGAAATTTCTCGAATTCACTATTGCGGAAAAACGTTGGAAAATGCATGCTTTCGACTGGATAATTCTTGTGAACATTTCGTTCACCGGGCGTAAAATGGTTGCGAACAAAAGAAAACATGGCATTTTCTATGCGTTATACGAACTGCAAACTCTGGAAAATATTATGTTTTCCCGTATTTACACACATTAACCTTCCCGGAAAATGCATGTTTTCAGCTGTTAACTCCGGTGAATATGTTGTTGTTCACTCGGAAAATGCCAATGAACGAAAGGAAAACACGCTGTTTGCCATGTGTTAACCGAGCGGTTAATGCCGGAAAATGAATTGTTTACCTGCATTTACCGCGAAGGAAAACTACCGAATAATGGAACGAATACTGGGATTCACCGATGCGAAAACGCGCAGAAAACTGTAAATTAACGATAAACGCTGTTTTTTTTTGCCGTGTGAAGGTCTATCCCTCTTGGTAAGTTACGAATCTTGTCAGTATAACGAATGATAACGATATTTGCCAAGTTTTGGCGATACATTCATGCACATGGGCTTTTTTTCCCATAAGAATCATTTTTATATGAACAATCATAATCAGGCTTAGATTAGCCAAATTTTTAAGAACATGCTCAGAACATACCTTGGTGAAAACCAGTGAAGATCGTCTTTTATTTGCTCATTTTCCTTTGTTTTTTGCATATAGCAGAGTATACAAGGCATGCCTTGCTCCTCTCTCACTAGTTAGACTTCTTTATGCGGTCGAATATTGGCTTTTTAAAATTCACGATTGATAAAGGGGCACATATTTCAACAGCTCAGACGAAGATCGTAAATATTTCTCCAAAATACCCGATAAATCATGAATGGACAAAATATTTGATTGAATAGAAAGCTTTTTTCACCACCATTATAAAGATCCATCCCATTAATAAAATCCAACCAAAACACTCTGGTGGCCAAGCAGAACAAAACGCAGTCAGAATTCATATCTGATGGTCACATGAATCATACTGGAAAATTACAGGAACGAATAAATAGGGAAAAGTCCAATCGTATTAGCAAAGGCGTCCGCCGTGATAGAGAACCATCAAGATTACCGTTGAAGAAAATTCTGACCTTACTTAATAAGAGTAAAGTAATTAAGAGATACGTAAGGTCTCATATTGTGCACAGCGACCACATTCGTTAGCTTTGAAAACGATTTTATCGTTTGATTATCGTAATCATCTTAAAAATTATCTTAAAACCGGAATGTGCAGATGTAAACCAGTTGGAATCACTCGTGCAAAAGGTTCAAGGTTGTAGTTTTATCTTAATTATGTTTATGTTTTTAAAGAGAACTGCTAAGCATAAAAAGACGTGAGGTATCAGTCATTTTTGATGATAAATTTGTACATGTTGTTCAATGCTTTTCAATAAAGAATAAGAAAGGAAATCGCAATTGTTTTGTTTCAAGGGAAAAGTTTCTTACTTCAGGTGATATTGAGTTTAACCCGGGAACTATTACTCTGGGAAATAATCCAAACAAATACAATTACAATCTCGATTAGCTCAATATGGCTTGATAATGTTAAATGTTGGTGGCGTAGGTGATTGCTTCTTAGAGTTGTTTCCCATCAGTTGTATGGGAAACCTAGCTATCATATGAATGTTCTTAGTGGTGTTATATATACGATAAAAAATCCAGAAAGATTCATCGAAAGTAGTACAGACCATTCATAGTGGAGGTATATTGCTAATATATCATACCAGGGTACATGGGCTGATGCACTTGTTACACAAGCAGTTACAGATATATTAAACTCAACAATCCACGTTTTGTTTAATCTAATCCAGGATTTGGATTTGTTGACATAATAACAATTTTTTTTAATTGACAAGTGAATGAATTATAAACGACCAAAGGACTGATTAAAAACTGCAGATAGCATCCTCCTTGATTAGGCGATATGAATACAAAAGCGAGGCTTCCGAAATTGCAAATCCTTTAAGCATGCAAGACAAATTGCAAGACGTATATCAATGTCGTGTTTGAACCTAGGATGGTATCCAATCCACCACTGAGTTTTCTTTCCTAGTACATCGGATGACTGAATGCAACGTTCCAAGGGTTTAATAGAGGCCAAAATAGTTCACATCCTGCTTTGTTCAAAGACCAAGCCAAAAATGTAACCCCTTTCTTGTCAATTTGACTAAGGGTGTATACTATAAAATATCCAGGATTTAAGAATTGAGGTTACGAGAGAACGCTGAGTGCTATTTCAAGTAAGAGGTTCTCCAAAACTTCGGAATTGAAGACCTCGGGAAATGAGCTTTCAAGTCAGCGTATTCTAAAACGATTCTCAAGTATGTATCCCGCAGTGCGTAAAGTTGTCATAAATTCGGTAGCAACGGTAGAGTGAAATGTCATCGTGCGTGAATGTATCCATGCATATTTTCTTTTCTTTCAGTCATAATCTCGAAGAACGTTTGACGTTAGAGTTTTCATTATCCCAGTTATATTGGCCAATTCATCTTTGCTATCAATATACATGAATTGTTCACGTAGTGTGATCGTCCGCGTGAGCGTAGTTCTGAAAAGAACTGTTGTTGGTGACTGACATTTCGACCATCTGTGCAGTAGTCATCTTCAGAGTCAAGTGAAGAGTAGTTGTCAGTCGATGATGTTATAGAGTCTGGTCTGTTGAACGTGATTGGTCTGTTTAGCCGTGATGTGATTGGCTGGAAGACTCGTGTAGAGTTTGTTAACAGTCATTGGTCGGTTTGGATCTGTCTGTTGTTTGTCGGTTTGTTCACGTCGTTAATGAGTCGTTTGTAAGGTACTGGTAATTATTGACATCTGTTGAGAGGCGTCTGTTCTAAGTTAGTAAACCAGCTTTCCAGAGTCAGTCGTTGAAAATAGTTTGTACTGTAGGTTAAGCATTTAGCAGAGTCCCAGTCGATTCTGTGATTAGTTTGTCGGTGATGTTCAGAAATGTGATTGTTTACATCGCCATTTCTAGTTGCTCGTTTGTGTTCAGTTAGTCGCGTGTTAAGGTTTCTACCAGTCTCACCAATGTTGGAGGCCTGGCAGTCGGAGCATTCGATCTTATAAATCGCTCCCTGTCTGTTGTTGGGTTCGTCTTTGTCTTTAACGTTGGTCAGCAAATGTCGTAAAGTAGTAATAGGCCTGTGAGCTACGCGAATGTTGTAAGGTTGTAGGATCCGCGCAATAGCCTCAGAAGTGCCTTTGATGTAGGGTATAGCAGCTGTAGTCGTGATAGATCTGGAGTCCCTGTTAGTTTCTGTAGTGTCGGTCGCCCTGTGAGTGTTCGTCTAATGAAGTCAGTGTTGTAGTTGTTTTTGTCAAAAACACGATCAACGCGACTAACTGAACACAAACGAGCAACTAGAAATGGCGATGTAAACAATCACATTTCTGAACATCACCGACAAACTAATCACAGAATCGACTGGGACTCTGCTAAATGCTTAACCTACAGTACAAACTATTTTCAACGACTGACTCTGGAAAGCTGGTTTACTAACTTAGAACAGACGCCTCTCAACAGATGTCAACAATTACCAGCACCTTACAAACGACTCATTAACGACGTGAACAAACCGACAAACAGACCGACAAACAACAGACGGATCGAAACCGACCAATGACTGTTAGCACACTCTACACGAGTCTTCCAGCCAATCACATCACGGCTAAACAGACCAATCACGTTCAACAGACCAATCACGTTCAACAGACCAGACTTTATAACATCATCGACTGACAACTACTCTTCACTTGACTCTGAAGATGACTACCGCACAGATAGTCGAAACGTCAGTCACCAACAACAGTTCTTTTCAGAACTACACTCACCCGGACGATCACACTACACGAACTACTGATACTCCTGGGTTCAAACCATTTACTTTAATATACATGAAGATAAAATCGTTGTCACTATAAAACTTTTAGGCTTACTGTGAAAATATTGAACAAAAACATATTTTTAAACAATATCACAGATCCACTCCGCAATTAATTCTAGCTAGCTGACGTTTTTAATATCTGCGTAGATTCTAAAATAACTCCATCAATGGTATATATCACCATATCATATAAACTCCGTCGATGAAACAAAAACACCTTGCCTAGACTAAAATCTCTGTCAATAGCTGTCCACCTTAAAGCTACCACCAACACATTATCTCCTCGCCATCTGTGTCGTCTTCCCGTGCTGGTAGTCTTAGCCATACTGGACTTAATATAACTTAAAACGTGTACTACCTCAATTTACATTAAAGTCTTAAAAACATTACGCATAGCGTTTTGAAGAACACAGTCTTTTTTTGGGAGTCGCTAGTGCCTTTAGTTGCAATGAAATGTCATTCTCACAATGGCCAGAGATAATTCAACAAAAGCTCTAAGTATTTAAGCCATCAAGAGTGAGATAGTTCATGAGGCATAGTAAAATATTTTAAAGGCAAATACTTCGGTGATTTCTTCAATTCCTGTCTTGAATGAGGCGTGAAAGTTCATCGGATGTTTCCGTTCCTGTGACCACTCTCTTCTTGAGACGTGATACTCCTTGGCGAAGGAAGCCGAAACATCGGATCGGGTTGAAAATAATGTAATTCCAAATTGACTTCACATGTAAAATTCCTTTTCCTGTAAAGTAGAAGAAAATACGGAGTTCAACTCTTATACATGTAATTAAAATCTTACAAGAAAGCGTTAAAAACGGTAAGGTGTCCCTTTTTCCTGAAATTTGTCTTTGCTTCCGCTCTAGCTGAGAAAGCGTTTTGAGAATGGGTGTAGACATTTTGTCAGCACAATGACTTGGATCTTTTTTTGCTAAGATCTCAATATTCATTATAACATAGCTAGTAAATTTGTATAATCAAATTCAGTTGCGCGAGCGTGCTTCATATTCCTATTGTGCACGCTCATAACGTCAGCAAACAATTCCGTCGAGAAAAAGATTTTCCATCGGGTTGAAAATGTTATAAAACAATTGGTTCATACTTCAGCTGAGCGTTCATCGAGATATGAAGCACTTGGGAAGTTTGAAGAGCACCCAAGAAGCTAAAGTTGCTCGAGGCGTAGCCGAGAGCAACTCTTACGCATCTTTCGTGCTCTCCAAACTTCCCGCGTGCTTCATATCTCGATGAACACATGCTGAAGTATGAACCAATTGTTAATTATACTCTATCTGTTCCTCAGAGTTTTCTATTTTCTACGAATAATTTCTAATGTTGGAACACCACAGAAGATGAATAAAGAAAATAACTCAAATTCTTCTTCCTTCGCAGCTTCCATAGCTACAATTTTGTAAACCACATCCATAAAAGCTGTCAGAACAACAAGGTCTCAAAGTTCCACCTAAAGGAAGAGTTAAGCTGCGGAAAGAATTTTCCAAACATCGCGATCTGTTTTAAGATTAAAATTATGTGAGACAGTGTTGTTGAGAGTCAAACATCCTAAATAACCTGAATAAGGCTACTTAATGATTTCATCATAATACTTTCATTGCGCGGAAAACGAAAAAACTTGGGGATTGAGAAAACCATCACAATCCACGGTACCTTTCCTTGATATATTTGGTAAATGACTAAAATGCATATTGAATAAAACAGAGCAGTATTTTGACTTACTAATGGCAAGCAACAATACAGAGGCGTTAAGGACCAGGAACAGGATATTTACAAAGATGGAGTCGTTCTTGCCCTCTCCTTGACTCTCATCCCAGTCTATGTAAAATGCACCAAGACAAACGTCAAAGAAAATGACCCACAGGACAAATGTTTGTAAGTAATCTTCAAACTTGTTCTTGATTGGTCGGAATAAGGTGTAGAACACTCCAGAGACACTGACAGTCAGAACAGTAAGGCCGATTTGGAATTGGCTTTTAGATCCAAATAGGAAAATCAACGAGATCAATATCAGCTTCCGGTACATCTCTGTGACCTCCCAAAACCAAAATTTTCTCTTGTAGTTTTCAAAGAACACACTGAGTCCGAACGAGACTTCTTCGTTTATCTGGGACTCACGATATTTGTAAGTGAGAAACAGAGCCAAAAGTGGAAATCCTACTGGATATAATGCCAGAATAGAGGCCATGAGCCAATACAAGCTGTGGCGAGGAGTGAAACACTGGATGGAGTAGTCAGCTCTTAGCAGGAAGATACAGTCGCTCTTGTCGTCTGCGAAACACGTTTCTACACACGCACCGGGAAGAGGAATAATCTGAACTATCGATTTGCTTGTCGTGGGGTAGGTCGTCAACAACAGTAGGAAAATGTTCCGATAGCAAGATTTCTTCAAACTCTTAACTTCCATTACTTTCTGGTCGACACCAAGGTCCTCCTTTTTCATGATGTAGCGTTTTTTAAGAAATAGATAGAAGAAAATCAGGCCAACGAGTGAAACATTCATGACAACAATCATCGTGAACTTTCCAAATTCATCAAGCCGTAGGGAAGTATGAATGCAACTTAGAGGGGCAAACTGCAAGATGTTCCCTTCAAGTACTTTAAGAACCTTCTCCGTTGAGATCAAAACGACTGGCCATTGGACTTTCGCCAATGCCGAGAAAATACCGGCAATGACTTGGTAAAAACCAATCACAATCTTAAAGCACGACATGATGACATCTGCAACTGTCCGGTCATTGTCTGCACGTTTGGAGTCACCCCAAAAAACCATTATAAACACAGCAACAAAAAGAACAATTACCAAGATGGATGACGTTATTGTTGTAGCTAACCGGGGACATTTCAAACAAGAGTTGAAGCGAAAATAGAAGCTTTCAGAGCAGGTTGCACACAAAGTTCCTTGATATCCTTGATGGCATTCTGAATCAATTCCACCCTTGCAGGACTTTGCATGGGGACAGTTCAGTGGCTTCGGGAGTGAACCATCGAACGTGGAATATGAATGGTTGTAGTGTGGTCCAAAAGAATGAATGTTGTTAACAAAACCCTTGAAATGTTTTTTTTCAGAATGATCTGTCCATTTCCAGAAGTAATTAGGAGCAAGTATTGCTGTATCTTTCTCACAAACAAAACCGTTTGGCGGACATGTATCTTTCTCACAAACAAAACCGTTTGGCGGACATGAGTTGTAACGAACAGTACCCGGGCCTAAAATGCCGAGAATGATCGTACCGTAAATAAATAAATACCGTATGATCCAACCGATAGAAGTTGTGTAGGCATCTGCATGCACGATATTCAGCAGTCTCGTTGGAGATCGTACCTAGGAAGGAATGTTTCCTTTCTTAGCAGTGATAATGAAGCATTCATGAAAAGGCTTTTCGAGGAACTCATTTCCTTTCTTCTCCGAGACAATCAAGAAATAAGATTTCACCGGCGAAGTAAATGGATATACTCTAAAATACGATATCTTTGCATTTCGCTTAAAATAAATAGCAACAGCAAGTAAGCGAGAAATTACTGTGACAGTCCTTTTATTAAAACTAAGTGTCACCCAAAGCGTATCTTAATCGAAAAAAGTGCAGTTTGCCAGAAGCGAACACTACACTTACCGTATGGACAAGCCACGCAGTCGGCAGCTTTGGTTCCAGGACTTTGCTGCTCAGAAACAAATGTTCCAATGCTGCATCTTTTACAATAAACTTGTCCCATTTCATCCTGATAAAAACCTCCTGTGAAGATATTATAGAACATGGATACAGTTCTACGGGTGGATTGTTTGGGCCCATGGTAAGAGAGTCAACTGTCACATCCAATTACAGCATAGAAACAACTTTTATAAATGTTATTGTTTGTTTCCAACTCATTTCTGATAACAGAAGTATACCCTTGAGAAACCCACATCACAATATGCCAACATCGTTCAATTACCTAGGCCATCTCCAAAAGTTAATAAAATACATAGAAGGAAAAGAATGATGATTCCATCAAAATTTAATCGTGTGCCTGAAAGCAAAGGAAACAAGGATGACCAAGAATTTAGATGGCATCTGATCAGTCGTTTCTCGTTATAAATTGGGTCAGTTTTTTTCTCTCGGTGAACTAAATTTACATACCAACAATAATCATACTGAAATTCGTCCAATCAATTATCTTTTTTTGTACTTTGGCTCAGTAAGGGAATAACGATGTACGTAAGAGCCAGGTTTTGCTCATCCAACACATATCTTAAACATCTAAAGCCACCACCGGTAGCCATCTAGCCAGACAAATAGAGAATCAATAGTAAACCAATACGTAAGTAATTGAAACGAATATTATAACATGCACTCATTTTTCTCAGACCAGTGTCGCTTTCTTACTTAATGTGATTAGAAATGGATAGCTGTTTATAATTTTTTTTTCAAAACCCTTCTGGTCAATTTTTTTTATCGTTATTATTTTGAAAAGAGGGTTCGACTGAACTCCATTTGGGTGAACAAGTACTGAAAATGTCGTATTGACGAAACGTTTTCCTGCTCTGTTAGTGTATAAACACGTTCTAACGTACAACGCTTTAAGTGATTCCTTGTTACTTGTCTTTTTACTATGGTGCAATAATTGTTTCTTCTTATTACCAGCAGGACACTGTAGACAGTAATTTTCATCGGTAGACATGTAAGTACCAACTGGACATAGGCTGCAATTTGCACATGGGCGTTTAAGACTGTGTTTTTTGTGGGATCCACAGTCATGGCACACAAAACCTGAGCGTGTAAAGCATAAACGAAAGCCACTTTGGTAACTGTCCAGAATGACGTGCAGAGATGTCGGGGGGGTACACTCACTGAGGATTGGACAATGGCAATGAATTAAAAACTAGGTTGAAAAATAATAATATCGTAATTTTCTCGTGAAGAGATTAATAATAGCCAAGGCCAATGGCATTGATAAATCCTGACAAGTTGAAACGACCGAGATCAATAATTGTTTCAATGCTTTGAAAATTGCGGTCACAACTGACCTCCCCCTACCTGTGACCAGAGAAGCCAGGCAAAAACTACAACAAAAGCGTTGGTTTTAAGACGGCTGAAACCCAGTGAGGCGCGGGACCCAACTGGCTTTCCGGATGTACACTGATGAATTTTAACCATAATTGGAAAGCGGCTACGATTCATGCAAATGGCCGGGGGGGAAGGGAGAATTTCACTTAATGACGTCATTCAACACAAGAGCTATTCTCTGGAATTGCAGTATATCATGACTAAATCCGACCAGGCTTTTTAGTGCAAAGGCTGAATTTTAAGAATAAACTTATTGAAATCCTTAAAGTCAAACGAGCCGCTGGAACGTTAGTGCAGATATCCACCATTCTATAGCATGAGAAGAAAATGAAAATCAAGGCCTACTTACATTTGACACCTATATTTTCCTAGAGGCAGCATACGAAGATTTTTACACGTCAATGCCCTAAATATAATTTCATCATCAATAAATTGAATTTAAAAGTTTCGGGTGTAAAAACCAACGTGATGTTAGTTGAAAGAATTGTGGCAGTTGTAATTTGCTGGGTGATATACGTCACCAGAGCATACTCGAGTTTCCTTAGCTTTAGGGGTCTTTAAGCGACCTGAAACGTGGATTGCAAAACAGTCCATATCCTTTTACCTACCCTCCCTCCCCCTTTTACTTGATAGTTAGAGCTACTGGACGTTGAAAAAAAACCGCTTCGAGAAACTTTATTCATACCAATATAGCCAAGAACGTGAAGCCGAATTAAGAAAATTAAGAAAAGGGAAAAAAAACGATTACTTTCCGAGATGATTACGTTAACCCATGAAGTTCAGCAGTTCAAAATTTCCAGATAAGCTCGAGAATATAAAAATATATATAGGAGTATCTAGAATCTATAGGTCTGCTACTAACTTCATTTTCTTTAGTAAATTAAAAAAAAAAATTTGTACGAGCTTTTAAGCGAAACGGCTTGACTTACACTTTGGTATGATTTGCCATTTCGTCGAACATTCCATCTGGTAATGAGTTTAAAGGATTATCAAAGATGGTTCTGAAAATGAAGCGTGTATATTCCCTTTAAAGAGGATATGTTACGCTCAAGCTCCTAATATCAAGACAAATTGTCGGTGCGATTCTAAATTATGCACTTCAAGTTTACTGACACCTAAACAACAGCAAAGAAAAACAGCAACAAAATATATCAGTTTGTTAATGTAACAAATTTCAAGTTTTAGCTTTAAATGATATCATTCTATTCTTCAATTTTACTCACAACTGCTTCAGGTCGAGCCTGTCAAAAGTCTTCTTTTCAATGTATGTAATTGCATTACTGTGAAGAAACCTGCGGGAAAATTTATTTCGGTGAAACAATTCTCCACCTGCGCAACAAAAATAAAAATGTCGTATATGCATTGCATATTGGAATTCGGAATAAGCGTATGATTATGTGATAGAATTTTTATGCCGTTTTGACTCACTTGAAATGAGACAGGACGTGGAATCACTTCTGTGTAATTGCGAAATACGACACATATACGTATTTTTATTTTATTACCTCTTTTTTATTATCATTGTGTTAACAGAATAGATATGGTAGTTTATTTATTAAGGCTTATCTAAAACGCCAAGAGAGGATAGCGGATAACACTTTATCCTCACTGGACTGCACACATGATAAAGAATTACATAATATGAGGTAAATCTCAGAACCAAAGTTAATACTTACAATGATTTCAGGCGGGGAGTTTCATAAAAAACGTCTTTGGCAATAAATGTAAGGTTGTTTCTGATAAGCAGTCTGGAAAACAGGAAGAATAACAAAGTTCTGACTTATCAAAAAAAAATTTTAAGGGAAATGACGTTATAAATGTGCCATCTATTATAGTTACATAGGTACATGAATTAAATTAACAAATGAAAAATCAAACTGATTAGCCAAATAATTCATTTATAATCCACGACTATATTGAGTCTAATAGAGAGCATCTATAATCGGCAGATGGACACTGGAAATGTGGATCTTGTTTGATACATATCTTTGAAATTAATATAACCTACGGTATTTACGATGCTCTGTTAAGACTTTGTCTCCAAAATGTTGATGAAGAAGATATATGAAACATTTTGATGTGCCTGGTGATATATGAAACAATGTTTGAATTCAAGTTTTTAAGTGGAGAACTGATCGGGGGTTGAGACGAAAAGCCCTTTTAGAATGCGGCACAGCAACTCTTTTGTTTGCTACACTGCAGCGGACGTACTGACAAGGTTTCAGTAAAAGTAAGTAACTGATGATCTACCGCTACCCCTTGGACCGCTTACCACCCTCTGTTTAGCTTGCAGGAAGGCTCTTGTGTTTGGGTTTCGCGTGGGCTGGGTGGGGTCTTGAAATGAGAGCCTCCCTGCAATGCATTGATTTTCGAATTTGCTCCATTTATCCATGAATGCTTCAACAAAGCATTCTGATTGGTCAGAAATAGCTCGCAAAATTACAAAGGTGTCGATGAAAATCATAACAATTGATGCCCGCAATGGTGGAAATTACATTTTTGAGCTCTAAATTTCAATTTTTTGTTTCTCTACGGGACAATGCCTCCTGACTCCCTTTGGGGGAAGGGGCCTAAAGGCCTCTTCTCTGGGCACAGTCACCTACTATGTATACACCACCATACACCTACTCTATCTATCCTTCTCTAATCTATTGAAAAACGTAATTTAGACCCCTTACATACGCCTCTTTAGAAAGGTATATATAGGACACTTACAGTGTGGTCAAACTGGCAAGTCCACTGAACGTGCGTTTGTTAATGTGAGTGATGTTGTTGAAGGTTAGTACCCTAAAAAATAGGGGGGGAAAATCAAAATGTCTGTGAGTCGCTCAACTCAGAAAATGTGTCGTGAAAGAGTGATGAGGTATGCGAAGATTTGCCCACTAGAAAAACAAATTGATTTTTGGAATAGCTTGATATTTCCTAAAAAAAACTCTAATATTCTTAGGAAGTTTCCAGGATCTTTTCGGTGCATTTGAGACCATGCCCGGCAGTCTGATCAAAGGCGTGAAATTTGAAAGTGTTGACAACCGAGCGATATTTAAGTACGTTCAAGCTCGGAGAGTCTGACCACTGAAAACCAAATCAATTTTTGGAATCGCTTAATATATCTAAACCAACATCATATATTCGTTAAAGTTTGAAAGAACCTTCCGTGCCCGGTTGTAGGGCATTTAGCCATAGCGTTTACAAAATTCAAACGTCAGTTACCTGGTGTCCCAGTTCAACCCACTAATCCAAAAGAACAACTCTGGCATGCGTAGCATGCCTATAATTCTCCCTAACTAGCATGCATAATCTTTTTAAAGCAAAGAGCCATTTGAGGTTTTTTCTTGTGCTGTAGCGCAAAATGGGGAAATTAGACACAAACGCTACCTGTGAATCGCTTCGATTGTTTACGATCTGATGTGAAACGAGAACGGTGGGAACAGTTCAAGTTTTTGGCTGATTGATTGACTTAAATCATCTTTTGTAAAAATTAGCTGCTAGATTGATCTCTAACACCTTTTTGGACAAAAATAATCCAATCCTGTGCTTCTATGAGACAAAAAAATTCTCGTTGAAATTACATATCTTAAATTGCTATCGGTCAAAAACACTGAAACACCGAAATTCTGAAAATGACGTCATCATCGGAGTAATTAATCATTTTCAATATTCAACGTTAGGCAGGATCGGGTCATAGTTTGAACTGATGGAAATGAACCTCTA